GGAGAGGTTTTAGTTGGGGGCTGAAGGTGACAGCTAGTGGTGTTCTGTTATTTTCTTTGTTGGAGTTTTATTTGTGCATAAGCTTTTGTGGGTAAAAAACCTCACTTCTTCAGATGCATGGAGTGAAAGTTACAGATGCAGGCATTATATAATGACACATGAAGAGAAGGGAGTACTTCACAAGTGGAGAACCAGTGTTGACGGGGCCAATTCAATCAGGGTGGCTGTAGTCCACTCCCAATAATAGATGAGAAGGTGTCAATTCCAGGAGAGGCAAAGCTGCTTTTGTAATGAACCAGCCACTCCCAGTCCCCATTCAAGCCCAAATTAATGGTGTTAAATTTGCAAATTAATTTTAGTTCTGCTGTTTCTCTTTGAAGTTTGTTTCTGAAGTTTTTTTGTTCAAGAATAGTGACTTTTAAATCTGTGTTAGAATGACCAGGGAGATTGAAGTGTTCACCTACTGGCTTTTGTATTTTACCCTTCCTGATGTCCGATTTGTGTCCATTTATTCTTTTACGTAGAGACTGTCCGGTTTGGCCAGTGTACATGGCAGAGGGGCATTGCTGGCACATGATGGCATATATCACATTAGTACACGTACAGGTGAATGAGCCCTTGATGGTTGATGTGGTTGGGTCCTCTGATGGTGTTGCCAGAGTAGATATGGGAACAGAGTAGGCAATGAGGTTTGCTACAGGGATTGGTTCCTGGGTTGGTGTTTCTGTGGTGTAGTGTGTAGTTGCTGGTGAGTATTTGCTTCAAGTTGGGGGGTTGTCTGTAAGCGAGGACTGGCCTGCCTCCCAAGGTCTGTGAGAGTGAGGGATCGTTTTCCAGGATAGATTGTAGATCACTGATAATGCGTTCGAGAGGTTTTAGCTGGGGGCTATATGTGATGGCCAGTGGTGTTCTGTTGTTTTCCTTGTTGGGCCTGTCCTGTAATAGGTTATTTTGGGGTACCCGTCTCGCTCTGTCAATCTGTTTCCTCACTTCCCCAGGTGGGTATTGTAGTTTTAAGAATGCTTGATAAAGATCTTGTATGTGTTTGCCTCTGTCTGAAGGGTTGGAGCAAATTCGGTTGTATCTTAGGGCTTGGCTGTAGACAGTGGATCGTGTGATGTGATATGGAAGACACTCCTGTATAATTCCCTAGTTTATTTCTATAGATCTCATCTTCATTAAACCATATAGCACTTTTCCTCAAGAGCAAAGGGCTTTGACTGTTACAAGTGCACACATTAGTTCACACTGAAATTGGAAATTGTCTTGCACGTGTGCTGAATGCTCTGGGGAGGTGGCAGTGTTTTGTATTAATCAACAGAGAACTTGTCCAGCTGATTAAGAAATGGCATTGAGACTCCAAAGGGAGTCCCATTCTGTCCTCAGCTGGGAGAATGATCCCTATTTTAGTGGGAGTGAGAGACCCCTGAAGCTTGGTGAGGGATATGAAAGTTTTTCGGTGGGAGGTTGGGATATGTGAAATGTAGGGTAATAAACTCTTGACTTATAGAAAGAAGCTACCTGTGGCGTGGTGGGTCTGGCAGAGTATGGAAGATTTAGTGGCAGGATATATTTTTTAGAACATTGAAAGACTGTCCCACCCCTGTAGCTGGGACTGTATTTCACTCACTGACTGCCGGTGCATGGCAACTATTGAGTGTTTGTGTTCCAGGTTCCCTCAGTCCCAGAGGAGTTGTTCTTCACCAGTGAAGTCAAACAGGAGGGGTTGATGAGGGACACTATGACATCTGCTCAGGCTTTGGTAAGTTTGTGTAAAAGTAGCTGCTTTAATATTTGCTGCTGATTGACTGACTGAGGCATGGGTGACCTGCAGGCCAAGTGCAGCCTGTGGACTTCAGCATTGTGTTTAATGGCTTATCTTCAGTGCAAATGTGTCGAACAAAGACGCTGTAGGCTCCAGCAGGCAATGCTTCAACTTGTCCAACTGGTCAGATTGCATTTTATGCTGGGACCTGTAGTCTCCATGGGCTGGACTTCAATATTAAAAACACAGGCAGCTGCAATCAGCTTGTTTTATGCAAATTACCCCTCAGGGCTTTTGGTAAACTGCCAATATGACTCTAAACTGGAGAAAGCGTGGACAGTATGAACTGGGGGTGCTTTGCCAAGGAGATGAGGCCTTTCTAGGGCACACAAGCATGTTTATTTACAGACTCTGATCTACTGTTGATAGGCTATCCACAGTGCAGTGTCTGTGTGAGAGTTACAGCCTGTCCCAGGTGCTAGGAGTGATGACAAAACAGAAACCAGAAATAGGTGACTCAGATCTTTTTTTAAAGAAGTCTGCTGTATTGGGCTTCCCTACAATCCACCTGGCCTGGCAAAGGGTAATTAGCACCTGAACCAAAACCACTTCAGAGGATAAAAAATAATTCAAGCCAACAAATAGGCAGTTTTCAGATCCCACCTCCCTTGCTGTCTGTGGGAGCCTCCAGCCTGTCTCACCACTGTATGAGAGTATCTTGTTACCGTGCAGTATGTGCCAGTCGCGCCTCCAATGGCAGAAGGGAGATGCAGAACTCCATTGCAGCCTTTCCTAAATATGTACAATATACACTGCCTGCAGTGATGGGATGCTAGGCCCTCCCTTGATCCCCACCCTGCTTGGCTGTGCCAGGTGATAATATGGCGGTGGGGGTATGTGTGGTCCTGTAACTCCATAGGTCAGAGTCTAAAGTCAAGTAGACTGATTCGGTGAGTCTGGATGGAAGCAGTAGTAGAGCTTTAATTTTTAATAGTTGTGTATTCTTTACCCTCCTCCTAGTTTGGGCTCCTCCCCCAGTCAGCGGCAGTCAGGGCAGCACGCCTCCGCTGGGGTCCCTAATCCCTTTTTACAGCCATCCACTCTCAGTGGGGTTTTGACAGGGATCAGGACTAAAGCTCAAGCAATGGCAGATCTTTTTGGAATGCAGCACTGTTCACTGCACATTTGAGGGCGGGAATGAGCTCTGTGGGTGTTCAAAGTTCATGTCTCTCTTCAGAAGCACTTGATCTGGATTGTGATTAGCTCCACTGTTGTGGGGTAAGGTGCCCTGAGACATCTGCGTGATACGTAAGGGATTTCTAATCCTCTAAAGATGATGCCCTTTTGCAGCTGTTCTGTCCTTCAGCTTCCTTTTCTTCCTTTACCAGGATTCTGTGCCTTTGGTGGATCAGCAGTTACTTTATACCTGCTGTCCCTTCCTTGGTGAGTATTGTATTGATGTTCGTGCCAGCATTCTTTGGTCCCATGAGTCAGGTCATCTTTCTTACCCCTTCCCACAACCTTGAATATCATAACTCTGACCTTGATGAAAAGACCAAGTCATGGATACTCCAACAACAATTGATAGAAGTACCTATCAGGGGACAGGGAGGCTGCAGATTGACTGTTCTGGCTGTGTAGAGTTAGTGATTCACAGGAGAGGGGGAGCCTTGCTATCCATGGAAAGTCAGACTTGAATGGGGGAGTGCCAGGCTGCCCCATGCTGCGTTTAAACGGGAAGGGTTTGGATTGTGACACTACCCTGGTCTCTAGGCTGACACTTACTGAAGGCAGAGGGGAGGGATCCCTTTGTACCTTGACATCATATACTGTCAAGCTTGTGCTGTCGGGATTGCTAGTGACCCTCAGTCATTGTTTCCTTGAGAGACTGCCTCCTGGTGGCTGTGCACTCATACAACGGAGGTGCCCACCTTAGCATTGTGGAGGGCCAGCGCTGGCTTTGAAGATGAAAGGGGGAGGCTTTACCTCCTGGGGCTACAGTGCTGTGTATGTGGCTGCAGGGAAGGCTGTACAGTCAGTGCAATGATTCTTACATGAGAAATGTGCATCACAATTTGAAGGGTTGAAATCCCCCGCACTGAGCTCACCTCTGGCATTCTCTTGGTAACCACACCAGAGTGCCGAGGGTCCTTGATTCACCCACAACCTTGGTGGCCCTTGCAGAGCTGCCACTTTCCATCCGGCGGTCTGAGGAGGACTGGGCGGGATTGTCGTGAAAACCTTGTCCGAGTCAGTACTCCCTAATCCTTCTGAAAGGTCACTGTTGAATGTTGGGAAGCACTGTGCTGCCTTCCTGCTTCCTGCTGGGAGTGCAGCTTCTGGGGGTGCCTTGCTGCCCTGCAAGGGTAGAGGCTTGCGGCCTGCTTTCCTCACCACCCTGTGTGGGATATTGGGATTGCGCTGGCCTCTCCTCAGATCGCGAACTTAGTCTCCTTTGCTATTGCAGAATCTGGTTCAGTGAATTTCTCTCTGCACGTCTGGCTCTGTTACCCACTGTCAGGACTGTATATGTGGGGGACTACTCTTCACACCTGTTTTTTCTCTTTACAGGTGAACTACGGAAGCTGCTGGCTTCCTTTGTGGCTGGCAGTGGAGCAAAGAATGGTGGCTTTATAAGGAAAATAACCCCAACTGCTGCAGAGTCCTTGGCACCTAAACCTTGTGTCACACAGCAGAAATTGCAGGTAGAGAGAACCTGAGGAGCTGTGTACTGACTCCTTGCACAAGTTAGGGATCCACTCTGTTTCCACATAATGAAATAGCTCAGAGCATGGCGAAGTGGCTTTTCACAGCAGATATGCAAAGGGAGGGAGTGTTCACAAGAGGGCAGGATGCACAGTGTTAGCATAAAACTATAGTTGGGGGTGTGTGGGGGGGACAACACAAGCATAGGCAGCAGAGAATGTCTTGCTTAACAGTTATAAGTTATATAACAGTTATATATATACTGTCTGCTTGTTAAATCTTCCAGCACTGATACTGGGTGGGCTCTAAATTCTAGAGAACCTGAATACACAAGCCTTTCCTGTCAAACGCACAGCTGATTCTTATATACCCAGTCTTTTTTCCTGCCTCTTCTTTCTGGCGTGTACCTCTGACTTTCTTTTTACACTGCTCTGACTCCCCTATAACCATGGTAGGACATATGAGAGTTCTGTGTGTGGTACAGTGTTGTCCATCCTATAATTAAAGGGGATAAAGTAAGACCACCTGGGAATGGCTCATTGTCATACAGTGCTCCCAGTTGCAGCCTGCTGTGAAAAGGTGCTGCTCTCAGAATGGACAGAGCTATCCATGTTTTTCCTTTCTCTTTTTCCCCCTTTATCAGTCAATTGTTTTGCGGTTTCTCACAAGTCAAAAGGAATAAGCTTTGGGCTAAAAGGTGAGCGGAAGATAGGACATGAGCATTTTACAGGGTGTGCCGGGGTTGTGGTCATAAAATGCTCTAGTATAGACAAGTTTTGTGCCTTTACTGTGTACAGTACACAACAAAGCCAATGTTTCCTGGGCCTGTTTATTCCTGTAGTGCAAAGGGGAGGATTGGTGTGGAGTGCCCTGGTCTGTTTGTAGCACTTGTTCTTCCTCTCGAGCAGGAGGAGCTGGAGCAGGCCTTCTTCCACAACCAGCCTCCATCCCTGCGGAGAACAGTGGAATTTGTGGCAGAGAGGGTGGGATCCAACTGTGTTAAGCACATCAAGTAAGTGCTGGGTTGGGCACCTCTGAAAATCCCTGCTTGCCTGTTGGGTTTTGATCTCTGAGGCCAAGGGTTTGGGTGTCCAGTTGCCTGTTGAGTTCAGTACTGCGAGTTCCTGGTGGAAACTAATCTGAGTGCTAGTCTAGGCAGGGTGCTGGTGACTGGCTGCCTGAAGTCCTGTCTGCTCTAGCGCTCTCAAAAGAGCTTAGTGTCTTAGGGTGTTTCTGTGAACATCTTCAGGGGAAAGCTGTGTATCCCTCGTCACTTTGGATTATGTCTGCTTGGAGTGTCTTGGAAACATAAAAATTGCCATGTTGGATCAGGCCTGTAGTCCTTCTACCCTGGTGTCATATCTCTGATAGTGGCTAGCACCAGATGCTTCAGAGGAAGATTCAAAACACGTCACAGTAGGCAGATGGAGGATAATCTACCCCTCATGTTGGGTCTCATTGTAAACCCTAATAGTTAGAGATTGGCTTAGGCCCTCCCAAAATTTGTTAGCTATAACTGAGAACTCTGGATATTCCTGTTAGCCATAGAAACCTACACTCCCTTTTTGAATCTCAGTTTTTGGCCTCAACAACATCCTGTGGCAATGAGTTCCAATGAGCCTGGGATGATAAAACTCTCTCATGGGGGGCGGAGGTGTTAGATTAATAAAATAATGTGATGGCGTTTTTAATCTCAGTGTTTTTTCATCTGTGATCTAAAGGAAAATGGTGCCCCTCTGGAAGCAGGATATAAGGGCTATATACTGATTTCCTGGCTTGTTCTTTCTGTTGTCCCATTGGCTTGTAACAGGGCAACGCTAGTAGCAGAGCTGGTCAAAAGGGCAGAGGTCATGCTGCAGGATAAGGTAAAGGAAGAGGATGCTAATCATAGCAAACTGCTGGACGAGGTGTGTGCTCAGCTGTACGAGGAAGGGGCGCAGGCTCTCCACAAAGGCAGAGAGTAAGCAGGAGAAGCTACTTAAATTAGTCATTTCTCTTCCTTTTCATTGTAGAGTCCTTAATGATGTGCAGGCTTTGAGATTAAACCAGTATTTTTAAAACCCCCAACCTCTGCTTTAGACATGCTGGTGTGTTTAGCTGCATCCCTGTAACCTCAGCTCAGTTTCCCTTCAGATGCCTCCTGTTCCTGGAAAGGAATTGAGGAGGATACAGTCCTGTGTACCCTAGCCGCCTTCAGCTCTAAACTGACTTAAGCTCAAGTCATTGTATTTTCCCCTCTTTTGGGAGAGGAAGGAAGGAATCCTGGGTGTTACAGCTCAACTGCCTATGGCAGGAGCCTGTAATTAAAACTTTGCTGACTTGGTTCTGTCTGGTTGTGGGACCCACTATGATGTTCAAGTGGTGAAATGTAACACAGCAGGTGGAAGTCCCTGCAGGGACATTTCTGACTGTCACCCTAGAGCAGTGGATCCCAAACTGTGGGTCAGGACCTCATGGCTGGCTTAGACTTGCTGGGGCTAGGGCCGAAGCCAGAGGGCTTCGGCCTTGGGTGGCGAAACTCGGGATACAGCCCAGCTGCCTGAGACTGAAGCCCTTGGGCTTTGGCTTTGGCCACCCAACCCAGGGCAGCGGGGCTCATGCAGGCTCAGGCTTCGGTCCCTCCTCTAGGGGTCGTGTAGTAATTTTTGTTGTCAGAAGGCCGGGGGGGGAGGGGGGAGAGGGGCGCGCCTCAGTGCAATCAAGTTTGAGAACCCGGCCCTAGAGCTTTAGCTGACACAACAGTATATTTTCTTTGCCATTTTTTCTTTGCAGATTTTGCAGGTTGAAAGGGCCTGAGGCTGTGAGAGTGCTGCTGCCAGAAGAGACGTCAGCAGCAGTATGTACCATGTCTATTAAAGGCCTTGCCTTTCAGTCCTGATCGGTATCCCTGTATCGCCATTGCTGCCACTTTTAAACCCCTCCGTGATAGGATGGTTGAATTTACTGACACATGGGTGTAAAATCACTCTGAGCCTCATGCCTGCCCAGGTTAACTGGGCATTTCTGTCAAAATGATCCAGCAGCAAAATAGTGGTTAACTGTTGTTCACATCATTATCATTTGACTTCACAGTTAACTCCCGTTACGATTAATGTGATTCATTAATCATAATTTATATTACATTAATTATACATTAATATAATACATCTTAGCACCAAATACTGCCTGAGTCAATGGGCTTCACATAGAGAATGTGTGTAAAGGGACCCTTTTGGTCATTTGAGAACCCAGTTTCCATGACAGCAGCCTCGTCCCATTTGAGTTTATCAAGAGACGCACATATTGACTCTGAACACGATGTATGTTGAAATAAAGGCTTTTCCCTAGAGAGTTTGTTCCTTTGTCTCTCCCTGCCCAGCAGGGCAGGGCTGTCCTGTGAATGGCAGTAACTGTAACGCTGCTGCTTATCCATTCCAAAGGTTTTGAACAGTGCAGAGGACATTGCGGTGGGACTGGCTACTGAGAAGGCCTGCACCTGGCTGTCAACCAACATTACAGGTAGGCCTCAGCTCTCTGCACTGTGGCTGCTCCCGACTTGAAGGCAGGGACTTTTGTAAGATCGGAGAGGTCTTTCCAGTGTAATGAAGTACATGCTCTTCCTGGTTTTCTTGTAGTCAAAGGTTTGTCCTGCCCATCCATACCTGTTTAGAAGCAGGGGAAGGGGTTGCTGTCCTCACCCATCTGGTTTCCAACCCTAAGTGCATGTTACAAGGTTTTGAGTTCTCAGACTTTGGCATTTAGGTCACTTCAGGATCTGAGTTCAGGAGTCTGTCTGGGGCGTGCTGGGTTCTACAATATGGGAGGCTTCCTCCTAATCTGTCACTTGGGCTAAAGTCTTTTCCACACTAGACATTTACAGCGCTAAAATCTGCTTGGTCCCTTCAGCATGCTTCTAAAATACCTTGTGTCCACACCAACTACTCCTCCTTAGGGCTTGCCTGCAGAATAGGTACCACTCAAATTGGAATTGCTTTCAGCAGAACGCCAGTTTAATCAGAACCATTTCAGACTGCACTGGCTTACTGCTAGCATTGATGGCAATGAAATGATTCAAAGATAGTTCTCCAGCTCCTGTCCCATAGTGCCTTGGTAGCATTTCAGAATCTCGCAGAAGTCATTGCTTCTGGGAGTTGTGCCAAGAACTATGGGATAGGTACCCAGTGGGCGTTGCAGCTAAAATGGTTTAGAACAGCACTAACGTGGATGCTGGGCTCAGAACATGAATTGATGTGATGGCTAGTGCAGCCATGCTAAAGCATTGATGTGTAAACTGGCACAACGCACCAGGTCAGCTTTCTAGTGTAAACACTACCTAATAGTGATGCTAGTTTATCTCCTGCTTAATTGATGTTCACAGGACACACAGATCCTTCTAATAGAAGGCTCAAAAGATAGGTTAGGTATTACCACTAACCTACACTTCTGAGAAGAGCTATGGGTGCAGCATTGACTCTGCCTATGCCCGGGGTCGGGAGCCTGTGATTACGAGAAGGAATAGGAGCTCAGAGGGCTGGGATGTTGGAAACCTAACACATTCCTCATTCTGGTCCTGAGACTCAATGGAGAAAGTTTTGAGGGAACACCCCATATTGTGGTTTCTGGAAACCGTTTTCTCCATGTCCCTTGTGAGAAAAATATGAATGTAATAAGCCCTGTTATTTGTTCCTTACAGCACTGATCAAAAGAGAAGTGAGAACTACCTTTAATCGGATGTTGAGAGTCCAGGGGCCTTCCTTACCCAGTGAGGACGCACAGGGGGAGAGGAAAGGTTGTCCCCCCAACTGCCAGCACCATGCTCCGTTCCCCTCTCAGATCATCAATGAGATCAAAGTACAGAACTTCCACTGTCTCCTTGGTTACATTGATACTTTTTTGACTTTCCTCCCATGGATACAGTTAAGCTGTCACAGTTCCAAGGAACAAGCTCTGAGCCTGGGTGGGGCGGGAGTGGAGGCAGGTTCGCCTATGTTGCTTCTCACTCCCTTCCAGTAGCTGCTTAGAGATCAGCATTCTGGTCCCAAGTTGCCCTGTCAAATACAGTGTTCATGGGGACATGGCCATGGGGTGAGAGGGAGATGTCCATCTGACTCCACTTCATAAGTCCAGAGTCCCCGCTTTAGGGATGTAAGAGCCATCCTGCCACAGTGAGAGTTTTGTGCAGCTCTGTTATGAAGAGTGACCATGTCAAAATGGTTCCTCCTTACACTGCAGATCTGCTCCCTGTGTGTTTTTTCAGTGAGCTCTGCTGACTTCAGGGACTAAAATAAGTATTTCCTGATCTTTATCCCTATCAGCCCTGCAGAGCTAGCTGGATTCTGTTCCTTCTTGTGCACCAACAGAATTGTTTGCTGAGTTCCAGTCAGCTACATCAATGCAAATCCATGGAAAGGGGTTTGCCTGCCTGCCTTTCCCTCTGCATTTAACTGGACTTAGGGGGAATTGAAGTTAAAGAGAAAGAAGGGAGTGGTCGGATGGCTTGATTTTTCCAGATTGCCTTCCTATTAGAACTGATATAAAATGCCTTCCCACCTTTCTTATCCCAGGCTTAAATGGATGTTGTTCTCCTAGAAATCATATAATTAAAATAAACCCAAACAGTTCTCTCACCATCACCTGAAATTAAGTGAAAGAATATTAATAATCTCATCTGCTTTTCACTATTCTGCTTGTTTTTCTGAGTTAATTTCTGTTTACCTGGGTAGTGAAAGTAGAGTAGCTATAGTCAGATTCCTATCAGTTTCATATGTACTGCCTCCAATGTTTTGGTTGCAAAAACTGAAATGGAATGTGTTTTTGTTTTTAAATAAATAAAAAAAGGGGGTTTCCACTGGAATTACAAAAAAAAATCATGGAAAGTTATATGAAGATCTTAATTTTTTTTTAATTTTGCTTTTTACACAGCTTAAATTTGGAGTCACTAGATTTGACATAGTCCTTTTGAAGTTCTAAAACAGTTGTTTCCATGTCTTCTAATTGAAGTTCTGCCCTTTAGTTCTCATTCAAGGATACTAGTATTGGTTGGTAAGTCACTAGTGATGCTAGGTGTTAACCACACACAGCATCAGGAAAAATATGATCCAAGGAACCAGACAGTTAATGCTATACATTTGTTTTGAGTGTGATATAGTGCTCCTTGTAATAATGGTGTTGAGCCTCATAGGGAGGCAGAAGATGATGTCATGGTTGAGATACAAGATGGTGGATGGAGGCAGGGGTCAGAAGACCTGGGTTCTGTTACCAGCTGTGCCATTGACTCTCTGTGACTTTTGGCAAATCACTTAGACCAAAACTTTGAAATTTGGGTGGCTAAATAAGTGATGTGATTTGCAAGGGTGGTGAGAAGCTGTTGCCCCTATTGACATCAGTGAGAGCTACAGGCAAAATTCAGGCCACTTATTACATGCCTAAATATAGATTTAGGTTCCTAGTTTCAGGCACCCAGGTTTGAAAAAAATTGGCGGCAATATTTCTATTTCTATTTCCCTTTCCTAGTCTGTAAAATTGGGATAATACTAACCTCCTTCATGGTCTCTGTGTGGTTTGGGGTTCTTTTAGTGTGTTTGAGAAAATTAAGGAATGGTTGTAAATCACTTAATCTTCAGTCCAGTGGTCTCTCTAGAAATGCAAAGTATGAGTTATTAGATGAGCCATTGTTGCCTTTTCATCTAGGACGTGCTCTGTATTGCTGTGGGACCCAGGGATGAAGATGAAGGAATTCCCTATGTCCAGCTGGAGTGCTTGCTGAAAAGACTGAGCCAAACGCTTCAGTGCAGAAAGGTAGAAATAAAAAAGTACGCAGTGCTTTCTGAGCCATCTGTGTACCTGCTAGTGTAATGAACCTGTCTCAGCTTGTGCTACGGGGGCACCTTTTATCTGAGCTCAGACGTGGCAAAGATAAGTGTCATTCTCTGACCCTAGATATCTGTGTGTGATGTGTGGGGTATGTGAAGATTGATTATTTTCATGGAGAATTTCCTGGAACTTTCCAACAATGCCTTCTTTAATGACCCTGAGTCAGCAGCTATGTGGCTCCTGCTGTTGCTGCTTGTGCCTTTCCTAATTATTTTTAATGCAAAGCTCCTGTCCAGTCAGTCTGAACCAGAGGCTGCAGATTCCCTGATGGTGACATGCCAATTTTATGTTTTCAGTTCATGTGTCCCACATCGGAGCAGCAGCTGGCTAGGTGCACTGTAGAGTTGGCATCTCTCCTAGGTAAGCCATTTGTGATGCCTGTGCATTGTTAATGCTGACTGCTTTCCCCTCACCTCTGAGTGCCCCTTAGGTTTCCCTGCTTGTAACAAAAGTGCCACTGGATCTGCAAAGACGTTCCATTGCAAAACCCAGAGCATGACTACTGGGAGATTGCTTTCTTAAAACCCCTCACAAACATCAGTCTTTTGAGCTGGCCCTCCTTCAACTACATATTTACCTCATTCACCCTTTTTTCCCTTCCCAGTTCTTGGCCCCCTCATTCAGACACGCAGTCAGCTCTGAGATCCCTGTCTCTGGATTCTTGGAATTGAACATTTTCCTAAATGTAATGTTTGATTCCAATTTTCATGCCTCGCTCGTGAGAAAGTCAGTAGCTCATTTCATGTGGATCAGTGACGACCCTGTGCAGGTTCAGCCAATGCAATACTGTTATATAACTTATAACTGTTAAGCAAGAGATTCTCTGCTGCCAATGCAATACTGTCTCAGTCTCTTGCCAGCAGCCAACTACAGTGTGTGATTTTTTTCCCTCTTGCTAAATGTGTCATTATGGTTTTTGATACCTGATGTGCATCTATACCTCACACACTTCTAGCTAATGATGTGGGTGCAGAGCTTTCCCCCTGGCCAGTCTCCTAATCTCTGCTATCTAGAGCCTTCAGAGGTAGTAGGGCTCCCCTTGAAATGTTCCCCTTTCAGAGAGCAGTCTGCTGTACCTTGGAAGGATGAAACGCTTACACTGAACTGGGTCTGGAAATGCAGTTCTGTCTTTCCATGAGATGACAAGAGACTACAGGGAAGATCTGAGAGTTTTTTAGGATTCATTGGTTAGCTGTATTTAGAAGTACTGTAATAAGAATAATTAAAAATGAATATGTTGTCCTTAGAGAAAACAGTTCATCCACTATAAAGTGAGAGTACAGCAGCCCCACATAAATCTGGGATCTACTAATCTACCAGTAAAATTATTAATGTAAAGTGTACATTTTTATTTATTTAAATGTTCTATTCAGTTAAAGTAACCACTGCCTTTTGTAGGAGTGACCACTACATCCCGTTCTGTTAGCAATAAAACTAGCTACTAGTTCTTAGTCTGTCTTCTCCCAGCTTTGTGGGCAATAGGCCAGTAGAGTAGCATTAGTCAACTTCAGAACAGACTTCTATTTCTTGTCTGTGATGTCTTCTGATTTGGGTGCAGAACCCAGAATTTTGCATGTTCCAAGATTCATAGAATATCAGGGTTGGAAGGGCCCTCAGGAGGTCATCTAGTCTAACTTCTTGCTCAAAGCAGGACCAATCCCCAGACAGATTTTTACCCCGTTCCCTAAATGACCCCCCTCAAGGTTTGAATTCACAACCCTGGGTTTAGCAGGCCAATGCTCAAACCACTGAGCTATCCCCAAGCTATCCCCAGTTGTAACTGCTGCTCTGCATTACCTCTTCATGAGTGTTTTCACCTTGGTGTTTGTATTGGTGCTAACCAAGCCTGTCAGCTCACTAACAATGTGCTGCACGTACCAAGATGACTGTAAATGTAATAGTAATAAACTGTATTGGTCCATCCCCTCCGTCCCATAGTTTCAGATCGTGTTCCTATCCAGGGCCTTAAGCCTCAGACCCAGAAGAAACCTGAAAGACAACGAGGGAAGAAGAATGCTATCTACGGCCTTCTGAAATCGCTGCTGTTGGTTTGGAAGGAAGACTTTTGGACACCTGTTCCTGTTCAGCTGATGTTCAGCAGGAAGAATGTCGGCTACATCGCAGAAGTCGAGCGACATGAGGTGGGACTTCCTTAGCTCTCCAGAACCAGCTGCCCAATCCTGCTCGCCATACTCGCACTGGAGTTCTGTTGACTTCTGTGACTGACTATCATGTGAGTAAGGCCAGCAGGATTTGGCTCTCACTGTTCAGCTGCCAATGAGTTTCTTCAGGGACAGCGGAAATGTAAGAGCAGTGTATAGTGTTGTCAAGAAGGCAGACTGTAATACTTACGTTTGGGGAGATGCAAGTGACACTAGAATTTGTTCAGTTTAATGCCAGAACAAATGATAAATTGCTGATCAACCTGAGAGATTATAGGACTGTAAACGTAAATGGCCCCATGGTTAACTTTGGGTCTGAAGAATTTTCCTGTCTAGTTCCAGACCAGGATATCAGCTTTAGTTGAAAATTAGACTGGCATTCCCAACCTCTCCTTGAGCTGGGCAGGAAACACTTACTCTATTTCCAACTGGGAATCCAGAACTGAAAATGAACATAAGAATGGCCATACTGGGTCAGACCAATGGTCCATCTAGCCCTGTATCCTGTCTTTGGACAATGGCCAGAGCCAGGCGCTTCAGAGGGAGTGAACTGAACAGGGCAATTTATCAAGTGATCCATCCTCTGTCATCCAGTCCCAGCTTCTGGCAGTCAGAGGTTTAGGGACACTGGGAGCATGGGGTTGCATCCCTGCCATTTTTTCTAATAGCCATAGATGGACCTATCCTCCATGAATTTATGGAATCTTTTTTTTTAACCCAGTTATTGCCAGGGGATGTTGTGAAGGCGAGAAGTAGGAGTTTCACTGGTTGACTGTGCATTGTGTGAAGAGAAGTACTTCCTCATATTTGTTTTAAACCTTCTCCCTGTTGATTTCTTTGGATGACCCCTGGTTTGTGTGTTGTGAAGGGATAAATAATACTTCCTTATTCACTTTCTCCCCACCATTCGTTATTTTATAAATCTCTATCATATCTTGCCGCAGTTGTCTCTTTTTCAAGCTGAACAGTCCCAGCCTTTTTAATGTCTCCTCATATGGAAGCTGTTCCATATCTCTGTATTTTTTCCAGTTCTAATATATCTTTTTTGAGATGGGGCAACCAGAACTGCACTCAGTATTTGAGATGTGGGCATACCATGGATTTATATAGTTGCATTATTATATTTTCTGTCTTTTTATCCCTTTACTTATGGTTCCTAACATTCTATTAGTGTTTTTGCACATTGAGCAGATGTTTTCATAAAATGCTTCACAATGACTCCAAGATCTTGAGTGGTAGGTAGTAGCTAATTTAGACCTCATCATTTTGTATGTATAATTGGGATTATATTTTCCAGTATGCAATACTTTGCATTTATCAACATTGACATGGTGTGATTGTTTTATTGTAGAATAGACTAGATGAGCTGCAAGGGAAATTTACGTAATTCAGAATGGTAGACCACATCTACCAGGTGCAGCTTGTCCCCAGAACCCAGGGACAGAGTTTACTTCCTCCTTCCACCTTTGTTTTTTCCCCATAATACAGATTTGAGTAAATTCAAAACATAACTTGTACAGAGTTCTTACAAAGCAGTAAATAGATGCAGGCCACAGTCCATCTTGAGGAACTTGACGCTCCTTGTTTCTTCTGCAGTGGGATTTCTTCCTGTTTATGCTTCGTGGTCTTGTTGACCATGATCTGATGGGAAATGCAGAGATAGAGAGCTGCTTGCATAGCCTCCAAGAACTTCTCTGGTCCTCAGTAAGTATTTATTTATGTTTCATTTAATATTCAGGCATGACTATGAGGATGCTGTGTCAGTTTGGCATTTTGCTTTCATTTTTTGTACTCCTCTCTCAAAGACCTAGGCCCAGATTCTTGTCTACGTGGAGTTTGTTTGGTGGAATATAACGTGTGTAGGGTTGTCTTAGGCTGGATCTGTGCCTGCCCTGCTCCAGCATAGATTAGAAAACCTGCCACTATACCAGCTTACAATGGTCCCCAAGAAACCATAAACTAGCTGGGAATAGCTGAAGTGCAGCACACTCTGGCCATCCCCTGACCTGGCCAGGCTAACAGGGGGCTGGGTATGTTGGCTCTACTCCAGCTCAGAGCTTCTCTATGCCAGGGGAAATTCTCAGCTGGCAAGATCCAGCTGCTTTTCAGCCTGTTTGCCATCACCAGAATGCACCAGAGAATCTAGCCTGCTGGCCAGATGTTTCAAATGTGGGAGCCTCAGGTTAGTCATCTGACGAATGTGGTCTGATTTTTGATGTGCTCAGCACCCATAAATCCCACTGCAGTTAATGGAAACTGCAGGTGCTCAGCACCTTTAAGAATCAAGCAATGATTTTTAGCTGCCGATAGGTTCGTCTATAAACTAAGATGGGCACAGGGATCAAAGGGAAGGCTTGGCGTGCAAATCTGTGTTTCTTATCACTTCGGCAGCTGCGGTCTCTTTCACTTTGTTTTTACTGGTATAGTCTGCGTCATTGTAGTAACATCCCAACACAAAACTTTGACCCCGTTTTTGCCTGTGAAATCTCAACTTTATATTATTCAAAAGAATTTTGTATCCCTTGGTTCACACTTTTAAAAGATGGTCTCTGATTTGCATTGTTTGTTGCAGGATTTCTTGGAAGAATTGGAAACTATCTCTAGAATATTTATATCCGAGTATCATGTTGCAGAACCCAGGACTAGGCCTTGTGAATTGGTGAGACAACCAAGAGGTACTGTGGCAGCACAAAGCTAGTGCAGATAATCTCTGTATGGATTAAGGAACTGAGGCAAACTCGACATGTGGCATTCAATAATGCTGCTGAGTCCATGCAGTAAGCCCCGTGCTTGGATCACAATGCATTGAAAGGTTACTTGTGCAAAAACTGCATCAAACTTTCCCTCGAAGGAGGGTCACTAGGTGTGACAGGAACGCACATCCCTCAAAGGATTTGGAGGGGTTTACATCTGCAAATGGAAAAGCTTCTAAGAGTTGCTCTCTAAGTTTGGAACTTTTAAGAACCTGACCGTGGTTCACAGCTGATGATCTACACTTGTAGTGGAAACACATCTCGTACTCCTGCAGCAAGAGGCTCTGACCAGAGTCTGGAATCCGTTCTCATGCACAAAATCTGCTACGTTGCTGGAGGGATTTCTGGTGGTTTCCCAAGGTGCCATCTCTTATCTTAACTTAGTGTGATTTCTTATAGACTCTCTTAGAAAATACACTGTGCCACCAGGAGAGGGAATAAGTCAAACTATAGCCCAAGGAGATGAACGGATATTTATTTTTCAACATGAGCTCAAGCTTGAAGGTTTGTTTTTTAAATTTTTTAAGACTCATTTTAAAAGTAAAATCACAAAAAACAATATTTTGGAGCATTGGATCATATTATTTTAAAGGACATTCATGCTTATGTTTGTGTCTCACTTAACAAAAGCAGCACTTGTATTTCATGTTTTTTATAGAATTGAGGGGGAGATTATCTGGTTATCTTTTTTACTGGGGAGAGCTGACAGTATTTTAAGAGGCATTGTTTTTGTAGTGTGAGCATAAATGCCATGTATCTGTTACTCACTGTCTTTAAAATCCTTATTGCCTTGAGTTTGGGGTTCTTCCATAGAAATACTTGTGTGTCATAAGCTCAGACTAGAGTAACTAGATTGAAAATGTAACGGAACTCCCATGAAGTAGCATCACTAGGCTGTTGGAAGGAAGCAGTCCTGTTCATGGCATGTCCATCCTCATGGATCCACCTTAAAAGGGGAACTGCCAGTATCTTAAAATACAATGTTCCAAGTGTTGAGTGACTAATGTATTGCTAAAATCCAGTCCCCATCAGAGAGTTTGCATAGGATTTGCCTCCCTGTATAAGGAAGGATTTTTTTTCTTTTGCCTAACAGGTTGATGGAGTGTCTTTTTTCCTCACTAAATACAGGTTATTCAAAAGTAAATATTGTGTTACATAAGCAAGACAGCTAGACAAGGTGAATCCTAGGCTGTTTGCTAATGACCAATGGCCATTTCTATTGCTAATTAACCTATCTCTTGCTGGTATGGGTAGGAATTCCTGGGGTAGAAGATAAAATGTCAAGGAGTTAAATTGTTTTTAAAAATCAGAGTAACTACATAAATCTGGCTACTACTAAATCCTACTGGACACAGAGAAAATGAGGGAAACCAAAGAGGACAATGTGCATCTTGCAAATTTTTTGGATAGTTTTGTCACCTACTAAGATTGGTGGGTGCTGGATTGAAGGAGACTGCAGATCCCAGGTATCTGTCTTTTCAGTGTTTTTTGTTTGCTGTCATCGTGCTCAGGTTGATGTTCAGTAATAACATTATCATGTGAACAAAGTGTGTGGACAGGAACAGCTGCCGCAGTATGAACTGAAAGAACAGGTGTGCTTCATGCTACAGCACGCTCGCTCTTTAGGGCTCAGTATAACAGGACCATTTCACTGTTGATATCTCAGTGAAGCTGCCAGATTTGCTATAATAAACAGATTATCAAAATGCAGCCCTGTTTTGTGTCTGAACTGTAAGTATATAAAGCTAGAAGTGCACAGAGTTGCTCATTGTTTTTTTTTAAACTGGTGCAAACTAAAGCACACAAGGATGCCCATCTCTAAGAAGCATGGCTGGGGAGCTGCACTCATCCTGTAAACACTCTGCAAGGCTTTTGTTGCAATAGTGAAGTTGCTGGGTCTCTTTCAGCCAACTGAGGTGTAACACTGACTTTGCCAACGCGTTGTCCCTGCGCTGGCTGGTGAGTTGTGTTGTTCACATTACTTGTAATCAGTTTTTTTATTATTAACTTTCCTCAGCCCAAAACTGTTGGCCTGCACCTTTCTTCCTGCCAAGGCTGGAGGCTCTCCTCCAGTGTTTGTCTGTGCCATGGCATCAGATTATCTGCTGCTGATTGTGGAAACAGAGTGGTAGTTCAGGCGTTCTTCCTTGCCCTTTAGCCTCTTGATTTTTAAAGTTTCTTTTGGGGCAATAACAAGCAACATCTCTTTTTCCATCTCTCCTCTGTTTTATCTAGGCTCCTCCTGGGTAAGTCCACAAGTCATTTTATAGTCAGTATAACTGAAACAGAGCCTGCATTCATATGGAGATAAACTTAAGGAGCTGCATGGTTCATTTCCCAGACAGATGGTTCCAGTCAATTTTAGACAGGAGGACATGAGTGTCATTGCAGTATGGATGCTCTCTGGAATGCCAGGCTCCTCAACTTCCTTCATCCTCTCTCCAAACTCCAGGAATAAGAAAACATTAAGCCATTCTGATGGAAATCTTACACCTGCTAGAGCTAATGGCAATAAAAACTGTCCCAGGAAAGAGATTCAGGGCACTGCTCTACTTTCTTCCTAGTGAGAGAAGGGTTAGGAGGAGACTGGGGCCATCCTAGACTTCAAAAAGATCTCTCCATAATCTCTCCAGGAGACCTTTTCCACTGTTGGACCAGGAAGAGGTTTATCTGCATAATCCCATCAGATGCTGTCATTGGCAGTTTCTCTGGTTTGCCTGCAACAATTGCTCCTTTCAGTACAAAATGCTTCTCTTTTATCTGTTAATCCACAGGACATTGACAAAGCTACCGGCTTGGGTTAGGAGTCTAGGAATTTAATTATACCTGTTCTTAGACTCCATGCTAATCAGGGCATGATCTTCGGATACCTCATAAGAATGGCCCTACTGGTCAGACCAAGGGTCCATCTAGCCCAGTATCCTGTTTTCTGACAGTGGCTAGTGCCAGGTACCCCAGAGGGAATGAACAGAACAGGGAATCATCAAGTGATCCATCTCCTGTTGCCCATTCTCAGCTTCTGGCAAACAGAGAGAGACTACAAGATCAAGAAACTGAGATGTGTCAGTACCTGGCATCAGTCCATCTTTGTCTATTCCTTCCAGTTGTTCTTGTCCTGTGTGAGAGTCTGCACATGAGAGAGAACTTTGGAGGTTCCTCTGATAGGCCTTGGCCTTTGAGGCATCCTTAACAAGACATGGAAAGGAAAGGAAAGTTTACCATCCACTGATTCATTCCTTCAGTTGGTGGAAACAAGAACCCTATGTGATGGAAGGATTCTTCCTCCACATTCCTGAACACAGCTACACCAATGCCAGCCTTTCAAGGTGGGAAGTCCACTTGGGGCACCACAATACACAGGCGATGCTAAAGGCCCAAAAAGGCTCCAGAACATCAGCTTTCTAGAGATGAGTGGTCACACTGGCTCTGCTGGACATATAGAACACAATAACCTTGGTATATATAAAGTGAGAAAGGAGCATAAGGAGGTGAAGTCTAAATATCACTGTAGTCCAGGTGTTTTCCTGAGCACAAGGTCATGTTGCCTCCATTGTGGCCATCCACCTAATGAAGCTGCTGAACATAACAGTAGGCTAGGTAAATTGTCAGCACCTATGGCCCCGAACCTATAGATGCTCCAGCTGATATCCAAGGAGCTAGGCCACCTTAGATGGGACCTATTCATGTTCAGGTGAAATGTCAAGGTGAAAAGCTTACCTCATCAGGCAAAGACCAATGGGATTAGATGCTGTGGAGTTCACAGATGGCCATATCAGCTTCTCCATGCTTTTCTCTCCATTTCCACTACTGGGAAGAATTATGAAAAGATGATAGAAGAACTGTTCCTCTCATTCCAGATTCCTAAGCCATGATATTTACAGCTATTGGACCTGACCCAAATCCCTCTGCTCCGTTTTCCCAGCAGGTAGGATTTTCTGGCCCAGAACCTGTTCCTGAGTCCCAGTCCAGATTACCTGAGTTTGGCATCAGGTCTTGAGTGGCAAATCCTAAACAAGAAGGAATATCCCTCTAAAGGGCGTCCCCTGCTTTTCACAGGCCTTCCACTACATTAGCCTATACAAGAGTATAGACACGATTCCTTTAATGGTGTCCATCTACAAGGATCAAAGACCCACGAAACCAGGTCTTCTGGATATCTTTCAGGATAGCCTAGATGTTGGTGTAAGGCCTCCCACCATCTCATCTTGTCAGCACTAAACAGTGTTACAACCTCAGGCTCCCTTAGTGGTATTGAGGTTCCTTTGGGCAGCACTTCTATTCAAACTAACAGCCAGGCCTGCCTTTTCCCTACCTGGGTTTTACAGCAGATTTTCATGGCTCAATCTGATCAATTTTTTCTGTTGAAGACCTGCTTCCTGTTTGCAGTCCTGTCAGCAAGAAGGGTCCATGAAACTACAAGGATAAGTTAATTCTTCCTTCATTCTGGCCAAAACTTCATCCTCTGAAAGCATCAGGGTGCATGCTTTGTCCGAGAAAAGTACTTACTTGGGTGTTGCACACTTGTAGCTTGTGTAGATAATTTATTCCACATACCAGGAACTCCTTGCATCCCTATAAGCACCGTGTGCGCCAGCACCTTATCCCCTTCTATTTCAGGAACTTCCTGCAACTCCCCCACTCTCAGGGCTTTTGTGTGCCCATTACCCCCTCCTCTGTGTGAGGGTCGGTCCCCCTTAATCCCAACAACCACCACTGTCACCGTCAATGACTACTACTTACTTTAGGGATGGGGCAGATTTTCTCTCCTGTCCTGCATCTTCCCCTCCCCACCATCATTCTTCATGTTCCAATGGCCTCTGCAAAATGTCCTTATTTCTTTTCTGGGACTGATTTCACCCTCCCTGCCCAAGGTACATTCTTTGGGTACCTATACCATGGCTTCCTGAGAGTCCGTGTATATAGCTATCATACTTTGTATTTTTCAGGAATTTATGTAAAACTGTGTTCCTATACAGTTTTAGAAGCTCTTATGAGGAGGCGCCAAGCCCTATGAAGAAGTTTGAAGTGCATCCGGTATTTGCAGGAAGACAGGCACAGCCTAATTGTGTCTGACTGGCCTGGCCTAGAAAAGAAATAATCAGGTAAGCCTTTCAATTTTCAGTCTGCTCTCTAGTGGGGTACATCTAGTTCTTCTGTAGCTTAAGATTAAATAAATCACCCATTGAGCATTATGTTGAAAGCAGGGCCCTCATCTTCAGTGTTGTAATAGAACCTCAATTACAAACATCCTGGGACTGGAGGCTGTTTGTTCAGTTGTAAATTTTTGAAAGAACATTTCAGAGTTACAGTGACTTAAACTTACTATGCAGAAGGAAAACGCTGCTTTTTAACTACCTTAATTGAAACGAAACCAGTACAGAAACAGTTCCTTTACCTTCTCAAATCTTTTTTTAAAGGGAAAGTTTTTTTTAGTAGCTTACATTTAACAGTACTGCACTGTATTTCCTCCTTTTGGGAGGGAAAGGGGAGTGTCTCTGCTAATGCCTGATTGCATACTTCTGGTTCCCAATGAAGTGTGGTTGACTGGTCTGTTCATAAATCTGGTGTTCTACTCAAGTGAATCCATCTGGAGTGAGTTACCATAGGATGGGGGGGAAAGGGAAGAGAGTGTATGCTTCTCTTGGGAGGAACCCTTTCTGCCTCCTTTGAGTCTAGCTAAGCACAGGAATGTCCTGCTCTCTCCCTCTCCGCTTTTCCTTACACAGGCATTGGAGGCTCCATGCCAGGGGTTTCAAACTCCATTTACCTTAGGGCCAGGGCCAGTCCTCAAATCCTCCCAGTGGGCCAATAATGTCACTGAAGATGGTGTTCAGAAAAGAAAACATTCATATTGTATTTTTTATTTCAAATTTCTTAGAAATAATAAAACTGTCATATAACTTTATACAATTCTTCGCTTGCCAGACACTTGGCAACATTTCAGTTGTCAGTTTGTTGATGTTTGGCCCCAGTGACTGAGCAATTGAAACCTTCAGGATTGCCGCAAGGTTTGCATCAGATAGTTGTGTTCAGTATTTTGACTTGTTTATATTCATTGTGGAAAAAAGTGATGCTGCCTGGCAACTAATGATGGTATCTCTGTCCCTCTTCCCCAGCCAATGGGAGCTGCAGGGGGCGGTGTCTGCATATGTCATCTTCTGGCCATGACTTTGAGACCCCTGCTCTGTGCCTACTCTTTAGTGGCTGCTGCTGATGGTGAGAGGTTGGGAACTAGTGTGGGGGAGGAAAGGGGTCACATCAGGTCATGTGAGGTGGGAGGGAGCACTCATTCCTGCCAAATCCCAGTAGCTAGAAGCCTTCCCTCCCCTTCTGTAGAAAGCAGTGACCATCCAAAAATTGTGAAAATTAGCTACTCCTCAGGTGGAGGTCAGCTAGGAAGTTGTTAGGGTTGATACTCTAAAGTGCATCTTGAGAAGTCTGAACAAGACTCAGTGCTGACTTCAATATCTCCAAATTAACAGCTAGGCATTGTATTGTATGGAAAAAGCTATAATAATGCTTTGAAGGAACTGCAAATGTCTTGTGCTGTTTATATTTTTTATAGAGAATTAGATTAATGAGAAATTACTTATTAACTTCTATAATTTGAGGGTGTTGTATGGATGCCCTACAGAATTTTATCATCAAGTAAGCCTTTTGGTTATTTCCTAAATCATTTTAATGACCATTAACTCTCACATTTTGTGAAGGACTGAGTAGACAGAGCATGTTAAGACAATGAATGTCAGTTGGGGCGTTTTCTCTATGTAGAAAATACTATTTATTATGGATATGAAAATAGCAATCCTTGTTGAGTGAGATGGGATAAGAGATACAGTACAATTGATTTGATTCACTATCATTCAAATCTACTGCTATAATGATAGTAAAATACTGACAGGAAGTTTTTGCCTTGTCTTGATAACAAATACATCAGCTAGCTTTTGTCCCACTTTTCTTCTAAACAAACCAATCCCACACATTAACAGTATCATAAAATGTTGTTATATTTGCAAAAGAAAACATCTGTATAAATAGGGCTATTTAGTATCAATTGACAATTGTATTTAAAAAAAGCTTATTAATTGAATACCAGTAAAAATAAAAATTAACTTCATCAGCATATAAAACTTCAAAATAAGCATATATATATAAATAACTTAATTTGTAAACATAGAAAAAAACAATCATATGCATTTATAAAAATAAACATCTGATGCACTGTACAATAAGACATTATCTTTCAATAGGCACTGTCACTGTTGACCTCCTTGAGTCGTCCTAGATGTTGTTCCTGTAAATATTGCTTTGTCATTAACAGAGTGCCATGTCCAAAATAATGGAAAACAAGCAAACCTTTCACTTAAACAGCAAATATTTTATGGGTTATATGAAGGTTTCATACCTTTCCCTGTCTAGCTGCAATAAAATAGCTTATTGGCACTTTCCCGATTGCAATGTGCTGTAGCTACTGCTAAGTCTGAATCAAAGGGTTCTGGGGTACTTAGAGCCAGGAGGAGGAACCAAGTCCACCCCCAAGTCAATATACGATGGCTTTTTTTAGTGGAAAGAAGGAAATGGGTTGTTATCCCTTTAAACATTGGGGAGTGCAGCGTGGGGGTTTGTCACTTGCTGAAAGCTATTTCTGGAATTTGTTTTCTCTGGCAGGTGAGTGATTAATGAATTAAACGCAACAGTGGTTGAGTAGGTGCTAAGCACTCACTCATCCCTGTCACACCAGAACAACGATTTGATCTGAATATTTTACTTTAATTTTCTGGACCATTTGACACAAATGGGTGTCTAATTTACTATGCTTAAGGACTGAATTCTGCCCCGTTAGGCATGTGCAACCTCAGTGAAGTAGGTGGATTGCAGAGTTAAACTGAAAGCAGACTTTAGCCCTCAGATTCTAAAGGTGCACTGGACTTGTTAGGGGGGGAAAATCATGGCTGTTTTTCTTAACTTAGACAACCAGCCTTAGGTACCATGTTGAAGTTAGATGCTTGATATAGATACCCATTCATCACATTTAAAGTGCAGTACTACCTTGGACAGCAGGGACCTTTACCCCTTTCAAGCAATAAAATGCCTTAAGTGGTTCTCTGCTATAGCAATGTTGAAGAGCGTTACCCAAAATAATAATAATACAGCTCAATGAAACCTAGTCCCTTAATTATTTTTAAAAGAATATCATGACTGAATTTTATAGAAAGAGGGTTTTCTGTATATATAGCTTTAAAGTAGGAGTTTCAGACAAAATTCAGCTGGAGAGTTTCTCCCAGTCATGAGCTCATTAGGAATGCTACAAGGGAACTGTGAACAGCAACTGTCTCATTGTAGCCAATGTCACAGGCTAGAGAATCTGGTTGGTACAGGTGAGAAAAAGAATGGAACAGCCATCAGGACAAAGCTAAACTTTTCATGTTTGCAGGATTTTAATTCTATAAACAACTTGAATCATCAGTTCTACTCCCTATTTAAAAAAAAAAATAGTCTTGCTTTACAACTGTCAATTTGGTTTCTCCACTTCAAAGCACCTAATTCTACATTACAATGATCGTGTAATAGAGCACTAATAAATTGTGTCTCCTGAGGTATGTTTTTTTTTTTGCCACTGTTGCTGAATAGTGACAATTTGATATACTGGATCTAGATCTTCATTCAAGCGGGGTGTAGAATGATTAGTTTGTCATGCTGTTAACATTTTAACCTTGCCAAGATGAAGTGACTCCTCCAGGTGGGCAAGCTGACTTTATCTACAATGTTTATTATGAAGCCTCCATCTGTAAGCATCATTCTTGTCAGATGCTACAAGGAGCATTACAACAGATTTGTTTCTCTATATAAGGGCTTGTAAAAAGCCTCTGGCCATGATATACTCTTACATCACTTCTTTTTTCTTGGAAGAAAAACAAGCAGTGGAGAAGGAAGGATTGCACTTTGAAATAGCTGTAACCTGCCTTTTGCACCCAAGCAGATTTCTACATATAGATGTTGATTGCTTGCAAGGTGAGTGCTCTCTGCCTTTGCTGACAGAACTTCTACAGGCAGCACTTTTTCCCACTACTGAACAGCAAGTGCAGTTAGGGACCTACCTCTGGTAAGGACAGGTACCCCAGGAATGTTTACTCTTTGAACAGTGATTCCTGCAGCTGATGGTCTTCCATTTGTTTGTTTCAGTAATAGCTTTGCCCATGGCTGGTTAGCCTGTTGCTTCTCATCTCCAGTTCTGAAGTGGGACATGTTTTCTAAGCCAAAATTTTACTTTGTCTGTGAGGAGGATAAAGACTTTCACATCTATTCCTTGGTACTTAGCAGCTTTCTCCCACTGTAACTGTGTCTGGTTCTGTTGTTAACTAGCAAAAAAATGTGCTAGCCTAGCAATCACCAGAGGCTGCTGCTTAACAATGGAGCTCAGAAGCCGTGCAGGGATAGCTGGGGCGCCAAGATCGACCTGTAGAAATTAAAATAGAAGGGTTTTTGTAAGTGCGCTTGAATCAAGGCAGTTTTTCCAGTGTGGGTTTCCAATGGCTAAATGGTGTAAGAGTACACAGTAAACACATTATAGTCCCTGTGTCACAAATAATGATGAGTCAGGAAAAAGTACAAAATAGAAGGTAATAGTGTTTAGTGGTATGATTGACGTCTGAAGTTAAAATTAAGTCTGCCTACTTCATACTGGTGTTGTATAAGAGAGAAAGTCAACTTTGTCGATTGCAGTGCTTAGGTACGATTTGAGCAAATGTAATTTGCGGTTTGATTTATAGCTTGTGACTAAGTCAGCTTCAAATTCATGAGAACAAGCTGCTCTGACAAACTATGCAAATTCAATGTATACTATACTGCAGAAAATTAAGTAGGCAAACTAAAGCCCTTAGTCACTGAAAGTACTGTAAACAATGATTTTACATTTAAAATATATGGAGAGCATTATACAATAGAACAGAATTGAAAAATGGGGATGAAAAGTTCTTTAAGTAGGAAAAAATAAGCTTAATTAAATTTTAGCTCTCAGGGTATAACATTACTACACAGTACAGTTCCTTTTTATTTTTAACATGCAGGTGAAAAAACAGAATTAGTTTGGATGCTAAGAGCATAACACAAACTCCTGTATCACAGTTCATTGAAATGAGGGGGATCCTGTCTTCTCTTTTAAATACTCCCTAGTTTGTTTCTTACTCAAGTTGGCAACAGGGGATGGAGTTTTACAATTCTTTGCTTCCTTGTAGCTGGCACCATAATACTAGTCCTGTGTTGTAAGAATGGAAGATGGGACTATGATAGTAAAAATGAAACAGTGAAATGGAAAATTACATTTGTTGTCTGTCAGGTTCATTAACTTCCCCCTTGTTCTTGTATTATCTCAGAGAGTGAAGGCTAATTTTATTTTAACTAATTTGTAAACCACCTTCTGTGACCCCCCTAATTTGTCGTCTCTCAAAACAGTGCCAGTACTTTGTCTCTCCTGTACTCACTTTCATCACCTGGCTCTGGTCCCCTTCTGCTTGAGATAGGGGCTGAAATGAACATCATACTCTCAATGAGGTCTTGCATAATGGCAGTGTATTACAATGGAATTGTATTATTTTCAATCTCATTCTTTACATTCTGGCATTTTGTTTATAATAGCTGCAAGAAAATACATAGACTATTGTGGTGATTGTTTACTTACAGTTGCAGAGCCACACAAATGAAAAATTAGTTTGCATATAAAGTCACCTTTACGGAAGGTTCTCAAACCTGTTGATATCTAGGTAAGTATTATACCCATTTTACAGCTGGAGAAACTGAGACCCAGTCATTAGAGTGGAAACTACAACCTTGGATTCTGGGACTTATTAGACACCATTACCTTTCGAACCCTAGACAAATGGCACTTATTGGAGCTCAATACATTGCAAGTATGTGCTGTATAGATTTTGTTCACTAAAAAATCTTATAGTTAAGAGATGGGACACATGACAACACTTTGTGTAAACCAGTCTTTAGATGCTGTAATATCAATAAAGGGGTCTATCTAGGGCACATATGGAATCAGGTGCCCTGACACGATTGTAACAAGGTTAAGTCTCTCTTGTAATCAGGCTACCACTGTGCTCACAACAAAGGAGCAATCTCACTGAATTTAGTATGATTTAAAATCTGTCAAAGTGCTCATGCTAGAATATTGAGACTAATGTTAGTTGTATACTACTCTCACTGCAGAAATTGCTTAAACTCAACTGGATGTGTAACTGAATCAAAACATTTGCATAGAATCTCTCACCTGTGCCATGTAAATGACTCTGGTGATGTCTTTTCCATTTACTCGATCAGGTTCCAATATCCAAGCACTTGGTAGAATCTCCCCTCGTACCATTTCTTTACAAGGACGAGGCATGGACTCATCATAGATAGACTGAATAGCTAAAATCGACAAGTTTTCCTGCATACAATAGAGTGCCAAAAACAGTTATTTATTTAGCATAGAGAAGGCACAGTACAAGTTATACAGATGAAATAGTTTGGACACAGTACACTGAGACACAGTCTGGGCCAAAGGGATGCTAATACCTATTAGTCCTGAGCAAAGGAAATGCCTCAACCAGCTCATGCCCATTCATTTGATAAACAAAAAATGCTCTTAGGTATGTCCTGTTACCTGTGCTGGGATCCTCTCTGAGAATCCCACCTCCCTCTGGCTACAAGGAAGAAAAGTGACAATCTGTTTACAACATAAGGTACCATTGATTTGAATCACCTACAATAAAGTTAGCTAAATTCACTCACCGCTCAGTGCAGACAGCTCAATCTGTTAAGGCGCAGTCTTAACACAAGCAATCTAAGTTGTGTGATACATTTTAAAGGTAAAACAACACCATGTGCTGTTGTTTATTTGAGGCAATGATTCATACATAAATACTGTAGTACTTAAATGTTAGCTTAGCCTAGTTTTTTATAGAATGTGAAAGCAGAAGGAGAACCTGGACAAGAATGCCAGTAAGACACTTGTAATAACCAACTGGTGCAATGCCACAATCTCCTGCAGCTGAAATACAGGTAAACAAAAATGTGCAACATCAAGTCATCTAAAACTGACTGTCAAGCAGCTATGGATCCTGGACTTCATTATACAGATGAGAGGGGGGTGGGGGGAGGGACAAAACTAAGTTTCATACACATCAAAGAAAAATAAAAGCTAGGGTCTTGTCTAGACTAGATTTAAAAAACACCCTTTTCCCAAGTTGAAACACCATATTGCTCCTAATCTTGGTGAAGTTTAAATAATGAGATGTTAGGTTGATGGGAGTAGAATGCACCCTAGAAAATGAGAAGACATTTTGAAGGGGGGACTAATTTGTGATAAGCAGAAAAGAGGCACTCCTCACAGAGATAAATGTCTTAACTATGAATGCAAGCTAACATCAAAACTTGAGTAAGTTCTAGATATGTCATGTCTTCTATATAAAACTCACACAGTACATAAGAACGGCCATACTGGGCCAGACCAAACGTCCATCTAGCCCAGTATCCTGTCTTCTGACAGTGGCCAATGCCAGGAGCCTCAGAGGGAATGAACAGAACAGGTAATCATCAAGTGATCCATCCCATCGCCAATTCCCAGCTTCAACAAGTTAAGTCCACTGGGTTGAAAAATTTATTGTAATAGATCAGCGTAGCATTACTTTTAACAGGAAACTGAATGCATGCATATAGGGGTCTTAGCCAGCCAGGGTGTGAATGTATACAGCTCTAGCCTTCCTCAGCAAAGTTGCCACAGGGAGTCTGCTACCACATATTTCAAAGTATACTACTGAACTTTTGGCATGTAGAAGCAAGGTCCACACAGCGGGTTAGTGCATGGCAAACTAGTACTTGTTGCACACTAAGCCTCCATGTAGATCCTTGAGAGCAGTTTAACCAATTTTTTAAATAATAAAGTGACAAACCTTGAAGTGGGTTAAAGTTAGAGGTTACATTTTTATACCTACTGGTGAATCTGCAGAGAAAGTAAAGCTAGTTTAAATCATTAGTGTCTCCATCCAGCAACTCACTAAGTACATGCTTAATGTTTAGCATTGAGTAGCCCAACTGAAGTAGATGGGACTGCTCCTGTGCTTAAATGTGGTGCTGGACTGCAGCCTAAGTGCATACTTGGTATTAGTGTGTGAGTCTTTAAAGAGGAACTATGGCTATGAATAATCTAGGAAGGTCATTTTGAACTGACATTTCCATTTTAAGCCATTACCTAAATTTAAAATTGCATTTGGTTGAGGCTCTAGCATTCAAGTAACTTATTTTTGTATACACTTGATTTACTAATTGATAAAAGGAACTGTATTAAGTTTCATTTATTTAAGTTTGTAAACAGCATCATATAAACTTCTGTGTTTTTAAATTGTATTTTCACTAAATAAAATGTAAGGTATCTTAAGTCTATGCTTTAACTAAACAACCTGAAATTCAGTAAATTCCTAAGAGACATGCTATGGGCAGCTGATCACATAACCATTCTCACAATGGTCCCTTCTGGCCTCGGAATCCATGAAACATTACTAGATATTTTTAGTTTACTTTTATCATATTTATTTATTCTAATGGCCTCAGGCTCATTCTTCAGGCATTCCTCGCTCCAGCTGTGGTGCGAGAGATAATCTGCTGTATTTCCAGATATTATACACTGCTCTCTTTCCGGACGCATTACTTTCAGGTGTGAATACTCAAGCTTTTTGAACTACGATTCTTTAACAATCCTAATGGCAATACTTCTGCTTGCATCTTTGCTCTGGCATCCTCCCTATGCTGGGTTATTCCACAAACCATGTTCCCGTATCAATAGAAGTATAAAATCTTTGTGCTGGGCCAACAAGCAGCACCTCCATGCTCTGCTCACTCCTTCCAGATGAATACCAGAGCTGTTCGTTGCCAAAGCATTTTACATTGTGCATCAGCAAATATGTCTGGAAAATCTTCCTTTCTACAGACTTAACTTTCAAAGGCACCGGCCATACACGCTCTTCAGGATGCAACCTGAGTTATTTTATTCTTATGTTCTGATAAATCTACCTCGTAATATAAGGAATCAGGTTAGAATTTGAGAGTCAGCATCTGAACTCTCAACACCAATAAGGACTCCAGGAGCACAAGCAAATCTCTCTTCCCACCTAATTCATAAGGGTGTACAGCTGTGGACCCTCTTCCCCATACCCCAGCTTTTTCTTGAACAGTAATCTTAAACAATTTAGCTTACATGTTGGAAAGTACTGATAAAGTTACCTCTTTGGCCTCTACCGTGATGCAGCAGAAATCCCGTGGTTGCTTTAGATAACACAATGAAGTATCACTCACCAAATATACTGAAATAAATTTGGGGGGCGGGGAGAGAGGAGAAAAAAAATCACACTACAGCAACTATACATGGCTACCTGCTTTTGAATGTTTCCTCTTTAGAAGAAACTTACTCCTCATCTGTACAATTCTTCACTGCCTTCAAAGCTTATAAATGCCTGTATATTAACTTGTCCAAGCTGAAAAGCAACATAGACTAGTGCAAAAGACAGCCTATTGCACCCAATTTCTACAGTTTCTGCCACTGCTGACTGAGTTCAGAACTCTGTCCAACAGAAATGTTGAGACACATCTATGGATTAGAACTGAGGGGAAAAAAGCCAGCTCCTTAAGAAGTCAGTGACATGAAACGGTAATAAGTCAAAAATCAGCTTCAGCTATTTAAAAAGCCCCTTGTTACAGATTTATTCTCATGACTTTCAAGCCCATGTCTTTATTTTTTCTGTCAAAACCCATGCACACCAGTAGTACTATAGATGAATATTTAATAATAATAGTTCCAAGGATCTTCCAAGAGGTAATAATATGTATTTTTAAAAGTAGCAAAACATTTGTTTGCCAAACAGCTCATTGTATCTATAGAAGCCAGTATGTTACATTGGGTCAATAAAATATTGAATATTCTGGGCACACTGAGCATAAGATAATTTTTTTAAAATACAAGTAACATTCTAAAGTAACACCTAGGTTCTGGCTTTGAAATTCTTAATTACAGATGGTCTGAGATAAGGGTGAATCTGTCTCCTTTATTTATTCAAATAGTTTGAGTTTCTATGGTCTCTAAGAGGTGGGTTCAAAAGATCCTGGGTTTCTGAATCAATGGTGCTACGTCAAATTGACACCATCTGAGGATCTGGCCCTACATGTACAGTGTCAGAGTGGGTATTTACCAAAAGCATCTCACTTCATATGTCTGTTGTTCAGTTTATGATGTGGATTTTCACTAAAGTAGGTTACATTTATTCTTTATTTGACTTTTCAGCCTCATCTCTTCTGATAAAATGGCTAGCAGTGGGAATTGATAACATTCTTCAGAGGACAGAGACAGCTATGAACCAATTGCCATAAAGTTCCCCTTACACACAGCAATCCCAATTGATAACTCACCCAGCTGAATATGGCTCGTTACTTTCTTATGTACTTGAGCTGTGTTAATGGTTTTGTCATATAGATGCCTTTTGCCAGGGTCTTTCACCATGCACCACACATTGGGAAGAGGTCTTTCAATCACTCCAGCTCCCAAAAACCCATGCTTAGTTGCTGATGGGAAGACTTTGTAATAAACCAGTACCTCTTTTTCTGTACACTGGTATCTAAAGAAAAAAGACATGCTTCAGGTATTTGCACTAAAGACAACATAGAAGTGTGTCCAAGTACTGCAAAAAGGAAAATATCTGACATATACTTACTTCCAACCAGCTGCTGCCTGGCAGTTGTAAAAGTTCCTCAGGTTATTTGAACATGCTGCCATAACCTTAAAAATTACAATTCAGAGATGTAATCAAGGGAGAGTGCCTGATCTATAAATTGTGTTCACCTGTCTTGCAGTACAGCAGTTTGCTTCAGCCAGACTGAAGAACAAGCCTTAACTATTTAAGTGTATGCAACTAGTCATTCCACAGTGGTAAGACCACACCTCCCCATTGCCTATTGTGGGAGGGTTGACAGGACAGTATAAAACTGCCCCTCCACTTGGAGCACAGCTGATGTTCTCCCAGTGTGATTCCAAACAGAGATATGTCAAGTTTCGCTCTCCCACCCTCTGCATGCACAAACACACAAGTCATGCTGGATAGCCTGGTCAATAAGCCAGAAAGCATTAGGCAGAAAGAGCGCTTTCAGAGAAGAGACCTAGGGCTGGTCTACACTTGGGAGGGGGGCAGGGGTGTTGATGTAAGATACGCAACTTCAGCTACTGGAACAGCGTAGCTGAAGTCGACGTATCTTATTTCGACTTACCTCGGGTCCTCACGGCACGGGATCGACAGACGCGGCTCTCCCGTCGACTCCGCTACCGCCGCTCACCCTGATGGAGTTCCGGAGTCGACGGGAGCGCGTTCGGGGATTGATATATCACGTCTCAACGAGACGTGATATATCGATCCCCGATAGATCGATTACTACCTGCCAATTCGGTGGGTAGTCTGGACGTACCCCAAGATGGATAGACAGCTTAGACATTCCTTGGATCTAGTATACTGTATGTATCCTTTGCACAGTGTTAAAACTTAATTGAAATTTGGGGAGAAAAGCGTTAGTTTAAAATCCCCATCCCAGTGATGTTGAAATGGTCAGCTACAGTATTACAATGAAGGTTTAAGTCTGGTAAACTTGTACATTTGCCTGGAATGATTGAGAATGAGCATGTTACAAAATCTGTAAGATGACACCCTATTGCCTTCACCAAACCTTCGCCATTATGGTGCTCACCAATGTAGGCCATCTGGTTGTTGTTATTTTAAAATTCTAAATAATACACAACAGTCAGAACCCCAGGGCTGCAACCTGGCCTGCTTCACTTCTGCCATTTCAGTTTCTCTGAGCATCCTTATATACAATTGACCAATAAAAAGGGCAGGTCACAGTATGCTGTCATGGTCAAATCAGCTTTCTAGATAGCTGAGCAAAGAGTGCACCAGATGTTCCAGACAGTGTGTTGTTGGAAACCTGCCGCACACTCTGTTAGGAAATACAGAAATAGATAATGACCATGCTCATTTACTCACCTCAGTGATAGCATTATCCAAAATGTGTTTGGACAAATCCTGGTATTCTTTTGTAGGAGAGGAGCTGACTGAAAGAGTTAGTCCAGGACGGAACTTATGGCTGATGCTAGCAGATGGAAGTGGTGACTGATTTCTGCTGCTCTCTGTGGAGGGTGAAGAAATAAAAGAGAAGTCTTTGAAATGGAGAGAAAAAATATTCTATTCAGGCTACTATACCATCTCCATCACCGTGGTACCCAAGTACCTCACAGTAATACATTCAGCAATGTGACTACTATCATGTGCAGCTTTCTCAAGGGGAAATTTGAATGTGGATATTTCAAAATAATCTGAGTGCTGTGCGATGTGTTTATATCAGCAATGGCAAAGAAGTGCATCTTACTCTTGGAACACAAAAGGGATGGGGAAGGTGGTGGTTCTTCAGCATCTCACTTCCTATAGCAACAGGATGTATACTTTGCTACAAGTTATGAAAGGCACAAAAACGCTCATTTGATTTTTGTTTTTGTTTTTTTTAAGAGACTGCAAAGGTAACTGGGCCTTAAAACTGACTACCTTGACATCTATCCAGTTCTGAAATATCTGTCAGATGATTCACTCCACATATATATTCAGTGACATTATTCTTAATGGCCACTCTTCGAATCTTGGGTTGTATGTTGATCCACCTGCAGCTGGTTAAAGTTAGATGTAAATTAGAGTAGCCCTCATGATGCTCTAGAACAGCACAGGGGCTGTCATCATGCAGAGACAACACCAGGACCTGGGCAGTGTCAAGGAAAAAATTAAGGCTCCTTTCCACACCACTCGATTTGCACTCTGTTAATTTAGTCCAAACCTAAGGCTATGGCCTAATATGTCAGGATTTTCTGGGATGATCTCACCTATTTTGTGCTGGTTTCACTGTGTGTGTATAATGCACTCCTAATGCTGCTGAAAATATTTAAAGAAATAAGTAGCAGGTAGAGCTACTCATGAGCTGGCAGATACGCTGAAGCAGAATTCTACAACAAAAAGTTTAGCCCACATTAGACTTCACTTATTTTAAAATACTTGTTTCTGTCATGAAAGCTCAGTGGAAGTACTGTGTTGACATCTGCTAGGCCTACACAACTAAAGGAGAACATAGTTGCAGATTTTTTCAAACCTCAATTGAATACTGGAAACTAACAAGGTAAGACAGCATGCTAGGGAAAAAGATATCACTCCCTGCAGCTTTTCAAATAAGACAGGATTAAATCTAAATTGGATAATGTCAATCAAAATCAGTAACTGAAGATTAAAATCAAGAAGGGCTGACAGCTCAGAAATAATCAAAAGGCTATTAATACTTTTCACTTATATTGAGCTTCTTGTGATACCAGTATGTATTATTAAGATAAGTATTATTAGGTCCATTGTGCAAATAGGTAGATTGAAGCAGAAGAGGTAAATCAGTAACAGAACTGAGAATAGAACCTATTTAACTCCTAATCCTCTAATCACTCAATCACATAAATGTAAGCAAGGCAAGATAGGAGGGACTGCAAGAACTACTGATGCACATCTTGTTTTTATCATCTCTGCCCGTAAGACCACCTACTCATAATTAAGTTGCAGTTTGGTTTAAAGGGTAGCACTACATATATACTAGCAAAATACCTGTGCACACAAGTCAGTGTGTGTGTGTGTATAATGCAATTTGCAAGCCTACACTTGAAAATCTAGCCTCAAACTTCTTTGTTTCAAGGCATTTATACTCTGGTCCTCCTATCTGAATATATTGCTTTGTTACCTATATCCAAGTAGTAACATGGGAACTGGTTCATATGAACCTCTGTTTGTACAGTGCCTAGCAAAATGAGATTCTGGTCCATCACTGGGGCTCCTAGCTTCTATGGAAATATAAATACATAAATAAAGTAATATTAATACATCCTATTTTAATTTTTAATAAATTCCACCTTAGACGCTGGACACTGGTAGTCCAGATTTTTCTGAAGATGCATAGTAGCAAGATAGCTTCAAAAATCTAGAATCAACTCAAACTTGGATGATTGCATTGATAATAAATCCACACAGATTTATGATGTGGATCCCAATTTAAGCACATATTTTTTCACTTACCACATGCTGAATTCTTTTGTAGTTGCTCTAACACATAAAGTTGACTATTTCTAACAGCTGAGCGACCTCTTGTATCTCCTCTTGGGAGCTCTGCACTTCCAGGAGAAATCTGTTATTCAAAAGAGGGCAAAAATAGTTTGTAGTGAGGACTAGGGAAAGAAATTAAACTACCTAATCAAACAAGTGCTATGCTTATAGCCTGAAACCTTCTTTACAAAGCTGGTATCTACATATTAGTTTAGGGAGACTCTTTCCTTTCACTTTGCTCTGAGAATGCTCTAGTTACCTAACTTTTAGCTAGTGGAATTGTTAGAGTTGTTAACAGTAATGCAGCGTCTTGAAATCGAAGTTATACAAAACTTGGTTCATATTAAAGAAGTGAAGACTATAATTTCAGACATCTTCCTCTGCAATTATAATGTGGTGACCCGCATTTAACATCTTTGGACCATGGCACCCACTTGGACCTTGACAGGTTGAGAGCCCTGATTGACCATTAACCTTCCCCAAAACAAAGCCTTCTGCTATTACATCCCTCCTCTCACCATCAAAAAATCAGAAAGGCATTACCCTCACTGATGACCTGTCAGCAATCTGCTCTTACCAGTGCTTCCTGTTTGCTGAGTTTATTTGCAGCATAAGTAGCAGCGTTGCTGCTGTTATAACCAGATGTTGGGCCAGAGGAAAGACTTAGGCTGGAATCTGTACATAAAGTGCTTGTGCTTACAAGTGTCTTCAGCTTTGCTTCTTCCTGTGAAGGATGCCACAGTGTTATAAACATACTAGAAAGTAGGAGTTGTCTACCTTCACTAGCATCTAGCCAAATAAATGAGTGTACAGTAGCTCTGCGAAATGAAATAGGAGTGATCTTATTTGGTGATTTAAATCCAATTCTCTGTGGGTTGCTGTTCACATTACAAAAAATACCACTACTCCTAACACTAACAACCACCCTGATTCTGAGAAGCATAGAAATGTAAGGCTGGAAGGGACCTCAAGAGGTCATCAAGTCCAACCCCCTGTGCAGCAGATGTTCGTCTAGCCCAGTGGTGGGAAACCTGGAGCCCATCAGGGTAATCTGCTGGCAGGCCGCAAGACAGTTTGTTTACATTGACCATCTGCAGGCACGGCCGCCCGCAGCTCCCAGTGGCTGCAGTTCACCATTCCCGGCCAATGGGATCTGTGGGAAGCATGTCCCTGCGGCCCGTGCCGCTTCCCGCAGCTCCCATTGGCCAGGAATGGCAAACCGCAGCCACTGGGAGCTGCGAGCGTCTATGCTTGCGGACGGTCAATGTAAGCAAACTGTCTCGTGGCTCAGCTGTGTGTAGCCCACAGGTTGCCCACCACTGGTCTAGCCTGGTCTCCAATGATGGGGATTCCACAACCTCCCTTGGAAGCCTATTCCAGTGTCACAGTCAGAGTTTCAGGCCAAAAGGGACCACTAAATCATCTAATCCGACCTCCTGTGTATCACAGGCCACCAACACCACCCACATAATAAATTCAACAGCTGAAATGAGACCATAGTATTACAGCCCACTGGGGACTAGACTGTTATGTGCCACAGGCAGAGAATAGAAGGGAGGGGAAGTGCACCAATGTTTGAGACCCCTGCAATGGCAGTACTTAACAAAAGTTTTTCCTAATATCTAACCTAAATCTCCCTTGCTGCAGTTTAAGCCCATTGCTTCTTGTTCTACCTGCACTGGACATGGAGAACAATTGATCACAGTCCTCTTAATAAACAGCCCTTAACCTATTTAAAGACTATCAGGTCTCCCCACACACCCCTCCCCTTCAGTCAGTTTCTCAAGACTATACATGCTAAGTTTTTTTTAACCTTTCCTCACAGGTCAGGTTTTCTAAACCTTTTATCATTTTTGTTGCTTTTATTTTGATTCTCTCCAATTTGCTCACATCTTTCTGAAAGTGTGGTGCCCAGAATGGAACACAGTACTCCAGCCAAGCCTGACCAGTGCTGAGTTGAGCGGGACACTTACCTCCCATGTCTTACGCACAACACTCCTCTTAATACACCCCAGAACGATATTGGCCTTTTTCACAACTGTATCACATTGTTGACTCATTTTCAATTTGTGATCCACTATAACACCCCCCTCCACCCCCGATCCTTTTCAACAGTACTACCACCTAGCCAGTTAGTCTCTGTTTTGTAGCTGTGAATTTGACTTTTTCTGCCTAAGTGTAGTACTTTGCACTCGTCTTTACTGAATTCCATCTAGTTGATTTCAGACCAAGTCTTCAATTTGTCAAGGTCATTTTGATTCTAATCCTATCCCCCAAAGAGCTAGCAATCCCTCCCAGTTTGGTGCCATCCAGCAAATTTTATAAGCACACTCTCCACTCCATTATCCAAGTCATTAATGAAAATATTGATTAGTATTGGACTTAGGACGAACCCGTGCAGCGCCCAGTTTCCCCAGTTTGACAGCATACTATTGATAACTACTCTAAGTTGGCAAATTCAGCAGAAAGTCCAAGACTGTATGGATCATGGAGACTGAATGATATATACCATTCATATAAACCATTCATGTGGCCACTCCAGGTCAAGAGTGTGGCAAGCTGGGGGAACCCTGAATGGTCATGACCTGTGCTGCTTCTGGTTTTTAGATAAAGGATTTCAAGTTTCCAGGCTGTCAAACCAGCAACAGATTTTCAGGGGGCGGGGGGAGAAATAAACAATCTCCTTGAAATTCCAATTGTTCCTCTTTGCATCTCTTCAAGTGAGTCCCTGCCTTGACATAACTCACTGGCAGGACTGAAGATTTTACTTTAGCTGTAACTACTCTATGCGAGCCTTAAAGTAGCAAAGATAATTAACTGATGACAAGAAAATACTAAAAACCCTTAGATGTTTTTTTCACCAGAAAGGCAGTTGCAAGTTTAGTTTGCCAGTTCCGATGAAGAACTTTCACAGACTTCCATAATGCAGAAGCTGAGATAGATTTGGCCGATGCACAATTATCTACTGACTGCTTAGCATGTTAAAGGAGGCAGAGGCAACGAAGTGACAGACTCCTGAATTACCTGTCACATATGAGAAGAGCTTGTGACAGTCTATACTATGGTCACCACTTTTACAAGACTATGATAAATTTTGTACACAGTATGCCTTGTGAGATATCATTTGAAAACTCAAAATCTGCTGAACATTACTGTCCTGGTAAAATGTGTGTAACACTGATGTAACATGTACCATAGTTAGAAAGGCAGGGCCAAATCAGTTTTTCAGAGACAAAGACTCACTGGCACCCCAGCCAGGTTTTAAAGAGCTATCACCAGCTTAAGCAGCCCTTCTCTAGCAACGGGAAAGTGTAAACAATAAATTTACATTTCATCACAGGGACGATTCAAACCTCACATACACAATGAACTGTGTGTCACCATGACTCAGCAAGGACGTTTCTAGCACAAGAAACTGAATTATCAAGGGGGAGAAAAACACTTGACTTTACCTCTCCTCCTCTCATCTCTGCTCATGACATCAGTGACTCTCAAAGAACTAAACTAAGGAGAGAGTGGTTCCAGGCTGAAAGGAGACCTAGCCTATGAAATTTACAACAGCGTATGGTGACACACAGTTCATTGTTTTTGCTTTTAAGTTCACCTAGCTTGTTAAGTTAGGTATTAGCTTGAATATTACTCTTATTTTCTTTTGTAACCAATCCTGACTTTTATGCATCATCACTTGTAATCACTTAAAATCTATCTTTCTGTAGTTAATAAATTTATCTTATTGTTTTATCTTAACCAGAGCGTTTGGATTCAAGTGTGTGGGAAACTCCACTTGGGATAACAAGGCTTGTGCATATACCATTTTCCTTTGATGAAATGGTGGACTTCCTATGAGTGTGCGTTGTTCAGTAGTAGTGTGCTGGACAGTACAAGATACACATTTCTAGGGGAACAAGACAAGGATTAGAGAGCTTGTGGGTGTTGCCCTGCACATAATTCATGAGTGACTGGTCAGAGTGCTCATGTATTTAGCTGGGAGTGAATTTACATGCTGAAGGATGTGTGAGCAGGCCAGGGGTGGCTGTTCTGACCCCAAAGCATTGTAAAAGGCACCCCAGGTTAGAGAATTAAGGAAACATCACTGTTCAACAGTCCAGATTGGACCCTGGGGAACGTCTCAGAGGGTTACTGCAGCTTCTGCTCAGAAGAGGTGACAAAGTAGTTGCTATAGGAAAAATATGGTCACAAATTAGGCAGAGTGACCTGAAGGTAACATGGTACCATTCCAAAGTCAGACAAAAAACCCCAACAAAACTCTCATGTGTGCAGTAAGGGTGACAAAATACAAAACAAATGGAAGAAGCAAACACACACACCAGACTAAAGAGAAAGAGAGAGAAGCAGACTAAAAAGGATGGCGAAAGATTTTCTTTTCATCTTGTCATTTTAACATACAGAATTCAACCACATTAAGCCTGTATCAGTAGAGTCACTACATGCATTAATATCCAGCACTTGTGGCTTAAAGACATCCTCTCATACAGTGAGTGAAGCTTAGGAGTCTTGGCATACTGATTGTCAATAAAATGACACTATTGCACAAAGGTAGTCCAGAAGCACCACCAGTAAATCAGTGTGGGGTTATTTGTTTTTAAATACAAGTTAACAAGATTATTCCTTATTACCTTTACCTCCTCAACAGGCAAAATTAAAGATAAAGATCTGCCTTGGGCTTAATCACCATCACGGTTACTTAAAAATAAATAAATAAATAAATAAATAAATAACGTGCATTAACCTGAGTCATGCAGAACAGTTCAGTAACTACTGTAATTTAATGCTCACCTTCTGTAGATGAGAAAATATTTGCTCTCGTATACGTCTCTTTTCTTGCTCAGCTCTCTCCCGAAGTTTGTCCCTTGCTCTTGCAATTTCAGTCTTGGCCTCCTCTCGTGCCCTCTGATAGTCTCGGAGTAGTAGTTCAATCTCTGAAGGATACTGGGCAATCCTCCTCTGTGGTTCTTGGACTCTAAAGATTGGGGGTGGGAAAAAGACACACTAAGAAATGTCTGATACAATGCCATGGGACAATGGTAAAGAATCACAGAAAGAGTTGCTTTTTTCCAACACTGAACAAGGAACTTCATAATAAGGAAAACAGGATTATTCCTAAAAAATACTCTCCTTCCCTGCTTCACGGAAGAGCTTCTGAATAGCTACCTAGCTTCTCTCCACCCTGCTGAATATTTAAAGAAAAATGCGCACATGGTCACCTCAGGCTTTATTTAAATACAAAATCTTCAATATGTATGATTATGTGTGAAGAAGAACTGTATCTGCAGCAGTAACAAAACTCACCAATGCATGTTCTACTGAAACAACAGCCCCATCTCATCACCCCACTATGCCCCCTCTTGCTTCTTGGTTAACCCCTCACTCCCGCCCTCCCCTCCCCCAAACACATGCCTCTAATTCTCTCACTCTCTCTCTTAATGGGCAGCATGGAACTCCCACGGTGAGTCAACTCAGTGACCACCTCTGACACGATCTTCTCACAGGGAAATGGAAAGCCTTGGCATGAGTTGCATCACTTATCCTTTCCTACCTGCTGTTCCCAGTTCCCAGACTGTGCAATCACCACATTCACATCTCCTTTGCAGGCCTCACATCCACTGAGCTTGAAAATTGGATTCAGGGTGCATGTCTAGTATTCATCACAGTGAGAATACTTACACCTCTGTGACATCCTATTAACATACAGGAGCAACTTAAGGTGCTGATTTTGATCTATTAAGCTCAGTAAAACAAGGGTCCCAATTATCTATTAGACTGCCTCTCTCCCCATCTACCACCAGGGCAGCAAAGTTCAGCTGGGGCAGTCTCTAAATTCAAACAGCTCGGGGCTGGGGTTCTCAGCAGAGAGCCCTTAGACTCTGGAATTCACTTCTCTCAATGGTCTGACAGAGCCCAAGTTTGTTGATATTTAGAGCATAATGCAAATCCCATCTCTCTTCCTTGTTTTTTTGGGTGGGGAGTGAAAGGAGAGGTTGGTGAGTAATTCATAATAAGTGGGGTGCAATCTTGCTTTTGCTTTTAAAAAAGTCTTTTGCTAAACATTGTATATGTGCAAAAATAAGTCCATGGTTTACTACTTTAGACTATCAATTAAAAGTAGGTAGATATGAATTATGCGGCATTTCCTTTGCAGTGGGGAACCTTAGTTTTCCCTAAGTCATGAGAATCTTTTCTAGGTTAATAGTTTGAAAAGTGAAATCAAATTGACCAAAACTTGTACGGAAAGTTTTTGCCTTCTCTAGAACAAAATAATAAACAACTCTCCTGCCCCAAAGTTCACCACTTCTACATCTGGCATTCCATAGGAGAATCTATGTGCTCATTTTACCACACACACACATTACTGTCCACCTTAGTGAATAAAATGGGAGTTGTGCATGTACACCTGAGGGCAGCACGGGTTCCCAAAGCTGAAGTTTATGTGTCCCTACCTAGTATTTTCTACTACATTTCTTCTCAGTTGCTGCAGGTACTCTCGGCGTCTGCTGGGGAGATCCAGATCCCGCTGGTTTGTGTCCAACATCTGCAACAGGCTCAGATGCTTTTGTGGACTGAGACTGCGGGTTCTCCTAAAGCTCTGCAGCCTTTCCTCCCTCTGCTTTCTCAGGGCTTCGATTGTCTTCATGTGCCTATTAAAGGGTCCAAGATCAGAGTTACAAGGTATGTGCCTGATAAAGTTACAAAGCTCAGTTTTCCAGAGTGATATATTCCACTGCTAAAAACCCTGAAAACCAGGTAAAATGAAAACATGAAATTCACAAGAATCTAACAAAGGACTCCTGCACAGCCCCTCTCAGTGACATGATCACAGGAGTTTCAGAAATGCTAAACCATTAAAATAGTAGGAAACGAGTACAAAGAATTAGAACTCCCTTTCATGTTTTTAATTACTGAGGGGAGGGGGGGGGGGAGAATCAAGAGATAAGCTCAATACTGGTCTTAAGCTTATAGGTTATAATAACTTCCTGATTTCCAATACAAATATTACACTATTATAAGAATCCTATAAAAAGGGCTTAATTTTTCCTAGTTTCTCCACCATCGTCTTTTTTATTATTATTTGTTTTTGCCACCTTCACATAGCAGTATTTACTAACAGAACCAAGAATGAAATATTGTTATAAAAAATACTGAGGCATCAAATTTTTTACATTGCAGTAACTCATCAACAGAATCCTACTCCAATGGCTCACAATGCAGAGATTGGTGCGTGTGATTCTCATAGCTGCTAATGATTTTGGTTCACTTAGTAGAAGGAGGACGCTAGACCTGAATAATCTGTAGCTTGTACTTCTTCCCATTTCCATTATTACAGCAAAAGCCTTGTTCTTAATTATCATTTACTATGGGTAAGAGAATCTTAACGTTACGCTTGTTCACACAAATTTTTCTGTCCTCGAGATAAGATCTTTTAATAAACTGAATATTTAACACTTGTTATGTTTATTAATTATTATTATTATTAAAGTGTATTTAAAATGCATGAGATTCCACACAAAACTATTTTAAGTAATTTACCTTTCATAAAGTTGCTGCTTTATGGGAACTGAAGTCAGATCCTCCCCTGTTCCATTCTGAAGAATTCTCAGCAGTGCATCTGTTTCCCCAATTCCATAATTCAGCTTTGCTTCAGTAAGCTCTACAGTAAGAGGGTGCTGCTTCATATCCAGATGTATGCCAGACATAATCTGGGCACGCTCTCTTCGAAGTCTCTCAATTTCTCTTGTTCTACTTTCCCAAGGCTGGGATTTCACTTCTGTTTCAGTTGCTTGTTTGCTGACTGGCTTCTTTTCCATTTGATTTTGTAAATCAGCAGCACTGCCAGTCAAGCTAATTATTGAGGATGGAGGACTGCCCTTCACTCCACACCAGTTGCTAAATTTATTGTGTAGGGGCAAGTCACGAAGACTATAGCTTCGTGGCCTGTGTGTATTCACTAAGGAGTCATTCTCGTTTAGTAGAATTTCAGTATTACATTCACTTGTAGAAGCCGATGCTGTATCATCATCTTGAAGGGGTACATGCATGTCACTCATTTTAGAAAGTGGAAAAGGGCATCTATTTTTCCAAAAGGAATGGTGGAACTGTGCAGAAGAGGCTTCTATCTGATGTTCTGGAGATCCATCAGCATTTGTCTTGCTTGACCAACACGTGCTAATTTCTTGATTAAAAAGCAAGTCAGAATTTGGAGGGGAATGTCTACATTCCTCAACATAAGAAGTCTGAGAGTGGTTTTTAATCAAAGAGGCATCAGAACTTCCAGTGGTTTTGTCATATCTGATTCTTCCTGAAGAGCCTCTTCCTCTTCTGGTGGCATACATACAATGTAGTGAACGTTCCATTGGAATGTGCTCTTTGAGATCATCAACTAGATATTCCCCATGGCCAGAAACCTCTAAAGTGCTACTTGAATGATACAGTCTTTTTGCACGAATTGTAGTGTGCGCGTCAACAGTGAATCTGTGCTTTTCCTTCAATTCTTTTGAAACACCTATTCCTAAGAACTCTTTAGCCGTGTTCTTATCTGAGAAACTTCCAGATTTCTTGCTCACTTCCTTGCTATTTCTAGAAGTGGTAGATTCATTGTCTGTTTCTGTTTGTGAAGAATTGTCTACATGAGGCTCCAAGGTGCCCAAGCCAGAACGTGATCCTTGCTTTCTTTGATTAAAGGAACTTGAAGTATCAAGAGGATGTTCCACAGATCCCTTGATAGACCAAATGGACTTGCTACAGGTAACCTGGTTGCTTGGATTTGCACTAAGTGTTAGAATAGGGGAAGAGGCTCTGTCAACTAATAAAGTGTTTTTATAACATAGCTTCCTTACTACTGCAATATCAGATTCATCAACAGTTCTCTTATCCTGAACGTAATGTGCTGGAGATTGAGATGTACTAGAAGTAGAGCTGCTAACTACTGTGCATGAAGATTCATCTTGTCCTGAACTCAGTGAAGATGATACAACAGGAGAAACTGTGGGACTGCCAAAAGCAACATTCTGCTGTGTGCTGAATGGTGGTTTCTGAAAATCTAAAATAGGAGTGGAGGCTCTGGCTAATGAAGGCAGATGCATAAAGGAATCTCCCAAAATATTAGCAGCAGAGTCACTGAAGTCAGGCATGCTCTGCATTCTCATTTCAATGCTTTCTGGAGTTCTCGCTTGAATAGTCAGACCTACATCTTTCTTTTCCTGAGACCTACATACAGTATCTGAACCTACCACTTTCACAATCACATTCACTTCCTGAGCTTTCATCAATTCATTTTCAATTGTTGCCTGCAATAGATTTTCTTTGTTTTTGCTTTGTGGATGTTCTGAACTATCAGCTTGAACGCCTACATCTCCTGTAGTTTGAGTACAACTGTCTGACATAGCAGCCCTTACAATCTCTTCAGCAATTCCTCTTTGATTGATTTTGGCATTCTGCTCGTTATCTATAACATTCTGTTGGGAGAGGTTTCCCAGCAGCTCGGAAGTGTTATGAAGAAGCTGCGATAGGTGGATGGACAGATTCTGCATGCTCGTCCAAGAAGAAGGTCGCTGAAATGAACTCCTACTTGCATCTTGTTTTCTTGCAGAAACATCTGTATAACTTCTCCGGTGCCTTTTCTGTCTTTTATACCTTCCTGTAGCCATTGTTTGTGTTCCCTGCTCACAAGTAATGCCTTGTGTTTTTTTGGAGGCTGTTTCTGACTCAGAAGGGTAGAGGAGTACAATTTCATCAACTTGCATGGAAGTGTTTCCAGGTTGCTCAGAAGGATTCTCAAATGTTGAAATTCTGTTTTTGGGGGTTGTTTCAAGTATCTCACTGGATACATTTACATAATGCTTGCTGTTGTCACTTGAATATGTAGATTCAAAGCCCTGTCTCACATCATCCCATCCCTGGGGGTCTTCAATGCTGCTTAAAGTGCTTGATAGTACTTTTGCATTAGCATAAGAACTGAGATGAGAGTGAAAAGGGGAGTTTTGAGAGTTCAGTCCATTATCCACACTGGAGCATCTCATAACCTTATGATTATCCAGGCTTAGAGGAGGCTGACTGCAAGAGACATCACTTGCACTACCAAAAACATACTGCTTCCAACCAATCTTGCAGAGTCCATCTTGCTGCCATGGATGAATGTATGGATTGATATCACTTGAACTAAAATGCATTGCATCTTTATTGTCCTGTAAAAATAAATCTGTTTCTTCTGGTTGATCTCTCAATTCTTCAATTGTCTCTTCATTGCACTGTGGTAAAGAAGTATTAACTGAATGTTTTTTTACTTCTATATCCATGGAACGACCAGCTCTATGTGCCAAAGCAGTTGAATAGTGAATAGCAGAGGGCTCTAAGGAATTGCTGCCTCGGCTTCTCTCCCCATAGTTTTGTGAGCTTTTTGGATCATAATTAGCAAGTCTCTGAGTTTGTACCAATCTCTGCTGCAATCTAGGTTTATATTTAGCCAGTATGAAATTATCTGACTCCAATTTTGAAAATCTTTCAATTCCATGAAGATCATCTTCAGTTGGAGATGGAGGCTCAACACTCATATTCAATTCTTGTAAAGATTTAGAGGCAGGATACAAAGAAAGATGTGCCTTAGACGAAACTTCTGAAGTGTATTCAAGATCAGAGATTGCAGAAATAGCTGGGGCTGACAATATGTGATTCTGTAAACAATTTCTTTGTTCATCTTGTCTGCAATGCTTTGTATTTTGTGCAGTAAAGTATGATTTTTCATTCCTAAGTAATACCAACTTGGGTTCCTGTGGAGGCAAACAATTGTTTTCTGGTAACATTTTGAAGGATGTATTCTCATTTTTCATGACAGAAAGATTTAGCCTTTCTGATTTTGAAGTCTTTCGCTTAATCTTCATTATATTATCTGCCACTATCTGAGAATTGTCAGGACTATCAACATTTGAATATGCATTATTTTTGCAATGTACCATATCTTTTCCACTGCTTACATTTGCTCTACTTTGATCTTTTTCCCTGGCATGCCCAACCTGCCCATTGTCTTGTAAATCTGCACATGAATTTGAGGCAGCGTGATATGTTTCTTTGGGATCAGCAGCATTGTTATCTGTGGGACATACTCGCCCATACAGATTGAACATGTACCTGGAATCCACACTAATGTTTCCTGAACATGGGTTTTGCAATATTGTAATTTGTGGGTCCATGAACTCATTAGCAAAAACTGATGATGCTATGGTTTGATTTTCAACAGGATCTTTTCTTAAAAATGTTCTTCTCTGCTTCCTGTCTGTTGCAGGAAGTGCCTTCTCATTTCTGCTAATTCTCTCTCTCATATTTTCTTCTTTATTAAGAGTTGCTCTTCTAGCATCCCCAACAGCTAATGATGATGGCATAGAAACATCATCTTCTACTTTCCTTAGGTTTTCGAAAAATGCTTGTTGTAGCGAAACTTTATCCCAGGGTTGTTTATCAACTTCTGTTTCATTGTTGAGTTGTTCAGAGTTACTTTTATGTATTGATTTTCCATCTTCAGCAGGATATCCTTGAGAGGTAGATTTTGTATCAGCTACTGGGAGATGTCCCTTTTCTTTTGTAAGAGAAAGTACAATACTTGTTGAAGCAGATGGCTGCTGGTCAAATATCACAGCATCATCAGATTGACTCTCTTGCATTTGAACTATATCAAACGCAGAACAGTTTGAAGTAGTTGTATGTGAAACATCGTATCTGCTAGTTTCATTGTAACCAATGTCAGCAGTAAGAGGATATTCTGAAAACATTTTTAATGATGGGTAAGAAACTTTTGGAAATGCTCGAGGAAACTCTCTCTCTTGTCTTTCTTGTAGAGAATGAGGATTTGTAAAAGTAGATGACAACCGGTCAGTCAAAGAAATGTCTTGCAATGAGTCATCAAGCTGCCTAAATTTCAGAGATTTGGAGTCTTCTGGCAAATTAGAGGTTTCAAAGGTACTAAGATTGTTGGAACTTTGAAATGTTGTATAAGCTGGAACATCTTCCACAGTGCATAAGGTAAGAGATTTTGTTTCCTTATTGCTAATTTGTTCAAGACTTTGATATGTAAGCAAGCTCTTCTCTGGTAGTTTCATGCCAGAACTACCAATATAGTCTTCTGGGTATAAACACAATATTTTTTCTTTTACACCATGGCAAATCTGGAAAGAATCTTGACTTTGTTCTTGCTTTTGATCTACTCCAATGACCTCTTTAGTGATTTCATCATGCTGTGTGTTTCTTCTCTCTCTCTTTCCAACTACAGAACAAATTTTGCTTTCATCATCTTTCTGATTTACAGAGAGATCATCAGAAACAAGTATAGGCACATCCAAATCTAATGATTCACTTTCAAAGTATTTTGTTTTTCCAAAACAAACAGCATCAATTTTACATTTGTCTTCTCTGTTGTCTACCAACACATTTGCAAGTGTAGCAGGGCTATTCTTCAGCAGACCACCAGAATATTTAGAAACACAAGAATTCATATTATATCTTGCAGAGTGTTCGTCATAATGAGCATTTTTCCACAAGGGTTGATTAATACTTTCTAAAAAGGTCTCAGAAGCAACTGCAGAGTTGTCTGGATATCCCACACAAAGATCTCTAGAAGCCCTGTATGCCTGAATCTCACTGGGTTCAGTTTGATAACCAAATACATCAGGAATCCTTTCACTATTACTTCTATAGTCTGTTTTAATATAGTCTGCAGCTGAACATTTCTCTGTCTGATTGCATTGTGCTAATTCTTTCTGACTTATATTAATATTTTGAAAAGCTTTCTGAGAACAGACCGCTGGTAGTGATTGCTTTCTTTTCTCTTTCATAGCATTATCATTCAACATTGAAGAGGAAAGCAGATTTTCATTATCTGAAGTCTGTGGACCAGACACAGCCATTGATGCAGCCATACTTCCTTCTTGAACTATATCATCTAAGGAATTAAAACGAACTTTTGATTTTCCTCCCACACTTAAGCCTGTACTGTGCTCTGTGTCAGAATTGCTCACATTTTGAATTATATCTTCAGGAGAATCTAACCTTCCTAGGGAAACTGAATTATTTTTTGTGCCTTGACTAGGTGTAACAATTATGGATTCATGACACCTTGCAATAGAGGAAGTTGAATTTATGTCATCCTTATCAGGAAATTGCTCAGATACTGCATAATTAGATGTGTTGTTTAATACAAAGTGTCCTTCCCTCTGCTTGTTCTGCATGATCATGCTTTGCAGAAAATCACAGTCTTTATTTTGCATTTTATCAGAAAATGATTCATCTCGTCTCTCTTTGTTAAGCGTACTGGGTGCTCCAACATGCACATCGTTCTCCATTAATGTTTCATAATAAGGAAGAACAACTCCCGTACCTGCATTGCTATTAAATGACTTTACATGTCCTCTTAACACAGTGGGATCATCCTGCACAACTTCTGTGCTGTTATTTATTCCAAAATATAAAGGATGATTTACAGACTGACATGGAAAGACTTTAAGCAAATACTGTTGAGTTTCTTCAGAAGACTTTATAGTTTCTGGGGTACGCTGTTGTTTATTACGTACTGAGGAATCATTGGCATCATTTCTAGAACAATCTTTAGATACCCAATGACTTTCTTTTAAGATCTCATTTAATTTATTATTTGTCAGTTGGTGGCTGCCTTTGTTTTCAGGTGGAACTTCATTTTGATTTTGTGAAGCAGTCAGTTCTCGACTCTCAATGTTTTCTTTGAAAGCCTTCCTTTCTTCATCTGTTCTAAAAACAGACGCATTATATGTTTTCAAACTTTCATTTATTACATCTGCTTTAGCCATTTGTACCAGATTTATCAGATGCGTTTTCTCCTTCTCTTGTGCTATGAAGCGCATTGGATCAGATTCAAAATTATCAGGTCTGCTTCCAATAAAATTTACATCCAAACCTTCAGACACCCCACACTCGGGATAGTCGGTATAAGAACTCTTATCTGTATTGCTATTCTCTTTAATAAGTCTTCCAGATTTTCCTCTGATTACATTTTGCTCACTATCATCAGCTGAACTGTCACAGTTATTGATGTCTTCCACCAATTTATTCATTATACCTGTCTTGCCCTTCTTTTCAATTGCATCATGGCTACCTCCTGTTAACCTTGAAGTATCAACTGACAAAACATCTTGTTCTTCTAGTTTGGAAGCTGTAAAGTATCTTTCTGGGATCTCAGATTCAATTATAAATTTTTCACTGTTGTCTGTGTCAGAATACATCTGATCTAGAGCTGGAGTCTCTTGTGTAAATGAAACAACATTTACATTTGTGTGCAGTTCACCTCTCCCTGTGCTAACCAACATCTCATGGTCTTTTACATTAGTTTGTTCCTCACTCCCAATCATTTTGGAGTTAGTTATGCTTTCATCAACTCTGTTTTGTTGAAAAAAGTTCTGATGGGCCATCACCAAGCAGTCTGTTATACAAATTTCACTTGTATTGCTAGAAGCATTTTTTTGTTCCTTTTCACTGTTTTCTAAAGAGTTCTCTTCTCCACAACTACCTGGTATTGTTCTGGCTATGCTTTCAGTATTCAACACATTTTCTATTATTCTATTAGTCTGCTTCAACTCCTCATAAGTATCAAGGAAGCCTATAGTATTCTCAGAGAAATCCGATGAGCTGGAACGCAGTGAGGAAGGAATGCTTTTAGAAGCAGCTTCAGTCTCTGTTGAACAATAATTTATTTCCATGTTTGCTTTCCTTTTATTTTCATGACAGCTACTTGTCTGAATGCAGCTGTCAGAAATCTCCACTGTTTTTGATTCATCAGTGTGTCCTACACCACCAACACTATATACACCCGATTCTTCTTTCTCTGCCTCTTCATGCAGTACTGTTGTGTGCAGCTTTTTGTAAAACACATGGTGATCTTTGCAAGCCACAAGATCACTGGGATCTTTTGATCTCTGAACCAGACTTTTGTTTTCCAAATTATTTTTGCTCCTTTCTGCAATATCACATTGGGCTTCAACTACAGAGTAGTTATGTAAGGTTTCAGTCTGTCTAGCTTTAATTTCCAAAATATTGCTTTCCAACTTGATGACACTGTTAACCAGTTGAGCAATTTCTTCAGTGGTGTTTACTTTTTTACTCTGATAGGGAACCAAAGTCTCTTCCAGGATAATTTCATCTTCAGGATCAGCTGCCTTCTTTGTGCATTCAGATTTGTTATTCACACTTGGACTCCCTTCTTGGAAAGCAGTGTCTGATATAATTGTATTGTGTTCAAGCACTTCTCCAGAGTTTGGTTTTACATAATTACTGGTTCCTCCAACAAACAAAACCTCTCCTGAGAAATCACTTTCAGTATGAACCATACAAGAAAAAGCAGTTTCACTCTCTTCTCTTGATTCAGGAAAGGATTTGTTCTTGGTCTGAGTATCATCAGAGAGAATGGCTGCATCATATCCCACAAGACCTTCAAAAGCCTTTTTATACATATTGTTTTTCTGCTCTTCAGATTTTAAGCAGCACATTGTGCAGAGGCAATTAGAATTAGTTTCAGAACAACAACTTTTTTCGACATTGTTTTCTATACTGAGATTAGATCTGGTATCACAAATTTCATTAATTGCTGTAAGATCCTGCAGTTGTGTATTATATTTCTCAGCTTCAGAAGCACGTAGGAAAAGATTAGTTTTTGCTGTGTCATAGTAAAATTCACTTGAGTTGGCCTGTGAGGTGGATTCATCTCTAATTTCACAAGTAGCTGCAGTTGAGAGCTCAGTGTTTTTTCCATTTAAATTCACATTAAGGTATCTTAATTCATCTACCACCAAATTTCTATATTTGGATGAAGACCTTTCCTGGCCTACAGGGTGAGAACTCAAATTATGTTTTTCTTTACTTTCACTGCTTTCTTTTCTTATAGTCTCAGGACATAATGTGGTGTTTCCCAAAACCTGTAGGGATAAGCAACTTTCAGGATTGTCAGCCTGTGAACTTTCAAGAAAATCATTCTTTAAAACAATTTTCCTTTGAATTTCACAATTATTTTGTGAACACAGATTTTCCTCCTTCTGTTCATATTTTTCAGTATCTCTGAATGAAGGGGCCTCCAAGGCAGTTTCAATTAGGATATCTCTACTTGTTGTATTACAGACCAACTCTTTCTGAAAAGTGTCTATTGATGTTGTGAATTGGTCATAACTAGCATCCTGGGGAAAGGCTGCAGGACCAGTGTGACAGGGTTTTCTTTCAGAAGAAAAATCTTTGTCTATGGTTATTTCTCCCGCAGACAACTGTTGGTAATCAATCTTCTGCACAGATTTAAAATTATTCCCCCTGTAACTGAGTAGACCTACTTTACCAGCAGAATTTTCTCCTTGTTCAACAGAAGTCTGAAGTGTATAACTTTTCTTTATACCAGTATTCCTATTCTTGTTTGACATGTCACGGAGAAAGAAACCCTCATCACAGGATGTTGATGTTCCTTCTTTTGCAAAGAGCTGACCATGTTTTTCATATATTCCCTGTTTTTCTGAAGATGTTCCTACTGTGGGTATTGAAGCTGTATCAGGACACAGCCCTTTAGACAATCCACTGGCAGCTGCATTGACAGATGCATCTCTAGAGTTTGAATCTAATGGTTTTGATTCCGTTATCAAATTATCACAATCATTACCCGTGTCTTCTTTTTCAATAGTTCTAAAGAAGTTATCTTCTAAATCAGAATCTCCATGATCATTTCTCTGCTGTAAAACATATGTAGATGGTGTTGAAATTAATGATATTTTTTTAGAATCCTGATCCTTGGGCAGTTCAGGATAAATTGTGGGGAGAGAGCCCTCTTCTTTTCCAGATACTGGTAACAAACAATCTGTCACAGAGGTTTTTTTCAAACAGCTATGCTGTTGTGTGTATTCAACAGTAGATCCATAAGTAGATGATACAGTAAGCTGTTTGTGTTTAGAATGAACTGACTTGACATCTTCATAATAACCACGTTTTGCTGACAATGCTGAAATGGGGACACATGAAGTACTCGGTCCTATTGAACTGACAAACAATGACCTAACATCTTGAGATTCTAAGACAGAATTTTCATCAGAATTTACATTTTCTTTGACCATCTTACTTAATAAAGATCCACTCTCAGGAACTTTGTTTTCATCTATCTCAAAATGTGTTGTTTCTGGTAATGGTATTTCTGATCCATCAGAGGAGAAAGTTGCATTTATCTCATTTACACCATGTGATAAATGAGAAATACTCTGTAACTGCTTATAGCCAGAGACAAAAGATACTTCAGCAGCTGACTGCTTTAGGTCATCTTTCTTCATCCAACATTCCAGCTTGCTCAGATGAGCACCACAAAATTGTAAATTTTTATGAAAAGAAGGTACAGCTATTCTGGGGCTGCTGATTTCACTTTTGGAGTCATATGAAGACAAAGCATCAATGAGCGTCAAAGGGTTTCCACCTGTAGAATTAAGTCTTTGATCAAGCAACCCTTCTTGTTCTACAAAACAAACCTTCATCTCTTTTAATGGCTGTTTGCAAGTGTTATTGCAAATGGACGGTGTTTGAGTACCCAGATAAAAAGAACTGCTCTGTTTTAGATCATAATTTGTTCCTTTTACATCTTTATCACAGGCTCCAGGCTTCTGGTATTCCTCAGTCTGTATGGCTGGGGACCTAGGACTCTGCAGCCTCCAAAATATCTCTGCAGGCACTTCATCAGATGAATCAGATTTGGATTCTTCTACCAGATCTTCTGCTAACACCTCTTCTGCATCAGCTAAGCTATCCAGAGAAAAGCTTCTTTCAGTCTTTGCCAATCCACTGCGTGATGTGGATGAGGTCACCAAAGGTGAGATATGGTGATCGTATCTGTCTTTGTAAAACTTAACTGGCTCTTGGTGAACCACTAATTTGTGAAAACGTTTTTTACTTCGTTTTTTGGCTTTATTTTCTTTTTCTACCAGAGAGTCTTGAGACATCTGACTATCATCACTTTCAGAATCTTCTGGGTTGGTGATACATTTATTCCTGTCTGAATCTTCCTGTTTCAGTTGCTCAGTCAAGGCTTTTGCATAAGCACAGGAGAGAGAATCCACAGAGTAGGAACTATCAGTATCAGAAAAGTCATTTTCATCATCCTCTTGCCAGTTCCCTAGCAGATCTGTGGCTGTTTTTGAGATTCCAACACTCAACACCTCAGCACTGTGCCATTTTTTTTCAATGTAACGGAGTGGTGTCTGGATGTTTATCTTATTAAGGTTTCCTACTGAAGTAGCGGTCATCAGAAACTCCTGCTTTTCCACTAACTGCCTATCATGACTTGGCAAGGATGACTTTGGCTCTCTTTTCAAGTTCCTTGCTGTTTGACTTAGATAACCTGATGGTGGCTTTCCACGCACTATTGATTTTTTCACTTCCTTAGTAAAGCTTTCTGGAAGTGAATCTTGGCGCTCTCCTCTTAAATCCATTCTAGACTTTTTATGAAATGCCTGGGCTTCACTTTCTTCTAGCTGTCTCCCTGTAGGCTGACTTGAATCTCCTAATACCTTCACTTTGGTCACTTGTGTCCCTGTAATAAAGGTTTCGAGTTCACCTTTCTTCTTAAGCTGATCGGAAGAGAGGTTCTTAGAGGTCTGGCTTTGAGGTTCAGTTTGTACAAGTCTATCATCTAATTTTTCCATTTTTTTATTATCTTTGTTGATATGTAATATGATAACTGAACCATTACAGTCTTTTTCTGCTCCTTTTTTATTTCCAAACAGTGATGTCTTTTGTTTTTTAGTTAGCTGTCTCTGTGTTGCGAAGGACCTATACCTCTCTTCATTAAGGTAATCTCCCCTGGAATTGTCTTTAATTGTTCTGGGTAGATATTCTAGAGACAGCGTTTTCCATGGTGCATTGCCTTCATGGCATTTATAGGTATTTGGTGAGGTAGATAATTCAGAGGTGGTCTCCCTCTTCAGAAAAGAGCTGTGAAAATAATCCAAGACAAAAAATCAGAGGCTTTCATACACTGCGTGACTATATAAGTATATATTATGTCCTTGACCCATGGAGACTCAGTAACTGTAATCACTATTAATCACACTATAGCCCTGAGTCACTGAAATCCACTTAACACAAGTCTAGTCATGCCCCCTTACCCTTACCCTGTGGTTCCCAAATTTAAGAGAGCTCTCTGAGGAGATTCTCAGCTAGTTTAGTAATGACTTCAAAATCTGAGCCAGATACAGCACTTTAATCAGTGATAGGCAAAAAAGCAACACTGTTACTATTAATAAATTATTTCAGAATGCCCACAAGAGTGCTGGGTGCTTCATAGGAAAATAAACAGAAGACAAGTCCCTGAACTCTAGAGCATACAGTCTAGTGAGAGACTTCTCAATCAAGTTAAAATATCAAGGAAAAGGGAATGATGCAGGGTTATATGTACAATCAAATTGCATATGGATATATTAGGGCTGTCAAGTGATTAAAATAATTAATCATGATTAATCGCACTGTTAAACAATAGAATACCATTTATTTACATATTTTTGGATGTTTTCTACATTTTCAAATATATTGATTTCAATTACAACACAATACAAAGTGTATAGTGCTCACTCTATATTTTTTGATTAGAAGTACTTCCACTGTAAAAAAAATCCCCAGAAGAAATAGTGTTTTTTCAATTCACCTAATACATGTACTGTAGTGCAATCTCTTGATCATGAAAGTTGAACTTACAAATGTAGAATTATGTCCCCCCCCCCAAAAAAAAAACTGCATTCAAACATAAAACAATGTAAAGCTTTAGAGCAGGGGTTGGCAACCTTTCAGAAGTGGTGTGCCGAGTCTTCATTTATTCACTCTAATTTAAGGTTTCGCATGCCAGTAATATATTTTAATGTTTTTAGAAGGTCTCCCTCTATAAGTCTATAAACTATTGTTGTATGTAAAGTTTTTTAAAATGTTTAAGAAGCTTCATTTAAAATTAAATGAAAATACAGATCTTATCAGTTTAGTGCAGTGGTTCTTAACCTGGGGTGCACGCACCCCCTGGGGCAGGTCCGGTGCAAGGATATTTTGCGCCCTAGGTGAAACTTCCACCTCCCCTCCTTGCACATTGGTTCATTGAGGGGCAAATCCCAATCAGCCTTTATAGACCCCAGGGGCCAGCCGTGCCCAGGGACTGCTCCCCAGACCAGGTTCCCCCCTCTCCGCCCCCTGAACTCCCCTAGAGAGTGCACAGCGCCCCTGCGAGCCCTCCCCACCCCACACCGGTGGCCCCCGCCCAGAGTCCACTCACTGGCTTTGCCGGGCTTGGGCCGCTGCAGCAGCTCGGCAGGGAGAAGCCGCCTTCCGGAGGCACCAGAGAGCCAGAGTATCCCGTTTGCGGTGGCAGCGAGCCCCAGCCATGGAGTAGCCGGCACGGTGCGGGGTGCAGCAGCCCTGCAAAGGCAGCGGCGCCACTAGTGAGGAGCAGCTACGCCCCCCTGCCCCTCCTGCCCAGGCTGCGCCCGGCGCGCTCCCCCCCCCCCCGGGACGCTCCTGCAGGCTGCAGCGGATGCATCTGGGCGACAGCCCCCATGCACCCCCCGGCTCCCCCCTCGTCTAGGGTTACCATATTTCAACAATCAAAAGAGAGGCCGGGGGGGGGGAGGGGGAGAGTCCCATCCCCATCCACTCCACTCCCACCCTGACTGCCCCCCAGAACCCCATCCCCTACCTAAGCCTCCCTGCTCCTTGTCCCCTGACTGCCCCCTCCTGGGACCCCTGCCCCTAACTGCCCCCCAGAACCCAATCCCCTACCTAAGCCTCCCTGTTCTTTGTCCCCTGACTGCCCCCAGGAGATAATGCTGCCCGCTTCTTGTTTACAGTGTCACCTGAATCTGAGAACAGGCGTTCTCATGGCACTATAGATGCTGGCATCGCAAGATATTTACGTGCCAGATGCACTAAAGATTCATATGTCCCTTCATGCTTAAACCATCATTCCCGAGGACATGCGTCCATGCTGATGACAGGTTCTGCTCGATAACAATCCAAAGCACTGCAGACCGATACATGTTCATTTTCATTATCTGAGTCAGATGCCACCAGTAGAAGGTTAATTTTCTTTTTTGGTGGTTCGGGTTCTGTAGTTTCCGCATCGGAGTGTTGCTCTTTTAAGACTTCTGAAAGCAAGCTCCACACCTCATCCCTCTCAGATTTTGGAAGGCACTTCAGATTCTTAAACCTTGGGTTGAGTGCGGTAGCTGTCTTTTGAAATCTCACATTGGTACCTTCTTTGCGTTTTGTAAAATCTACAGTGAAAGTGTCCTTAAAATGAACAACATGTGCTGGGTCATCCTCCAAGACTGCTTTAACATGAAATATATGGCAGAATGCAGGTAAAACAGAGCAGGCGACATACAATTCTCCCCCAAAGAGTTCAGTCACAAATTTAATTAACGCATTATTTTTTTAACGAGCATCATCAGGATGGAAGCATGTCCTCTGGAATGGTGACCAAAGCATGAAGGGGCATACAAATGTTTAGCATATCTGGCATGTAAATACCTTGCAATCCTGGCTACAAAAATGCCATGCAAATACCTGTTCTCACTTTCTGGAAACATTGTAAATAAGAAGAGGGCAGTATTATCTCCTGTAAATGTAAACAAACTTGTTTGTCTTAGCAATTGGCTGAACAAGAAGTAGGACTGAGTCGATTTGTAGGCCCTGAAGTTTTACACTGTTTTGTTTTTGAGTGCAGTTATGTAACAAAAAAATTCTATATTTATAAGTTGCACTTTCACGACAAGGAGATTGCACTACAGTACTTGTATGAGATTAACTGAAAAATACTCGTTTATCATTTTTACAGTGCAAATATTTGTTAAAAAAAATATACGCTTTGATTTCAACAGAATACAATATATATGAATATGTAGAAAAACATCCAAAATATTTAATACATTTCAATTGGTATTCTATTGTTTAACAGTGCGATTAAAACTGCGATTAATCACGATACATTTTTTAAAATCAAGATTAATTGTTTTGAGTAGGGTTACCATATTTTGTGCCTCCTAATGGAGGACACTCCCGGGGGCCCCGCCCCAACTCCGCCCCCTCCCAAAGTCTCCGCCCCCTCCCCTGCTTCCCGCGAACATTTAATTCGCGGG